CAATCCAACCACTTTAGTGGAAAATATCATTCTCACAGAATAAATTTATAATAAGAAAATAATATCATAAACAATAAATATAAGCTCAGACCTTTGTGGGTTCTTCATTCAGCCATACCCAAACATTTATGTGTTCTACCCAAACTTTGTGAGTTTCTGTATAAAAACATATATAGGAACGTGTAATCTTTAACTGAAATGACTAATGCTCAATTATGCGAGCGCTCAAATTCTGTGGGTTCTGTATGTGAAAGGTTCTGTATGTTGAAGCTCAAGTCATGATAAGGCGTCCCTTACCCTATAACAATTTTGATATCCTTGTGGGTCAGTCACATCAGAATCATTCAGTAAAGGATTACATATTCCATTAGTATTCATTTAGTACCAAAGAAATTCTTTAATTTCTATAAACTTGATTCAAGATCATTCTCATATCTAATATAAGTAAATTCATCAAATTTACAAACCCAAATATATAAAATAAATTAAAAGAGTATAAATAATTCATAAAATAATTTTGACAGAGTAATGACATGTTCACAACTTTTAAAAAAATAACTTTAAAATACCAACTTTCAATATGACATAGATAAAAACAGAACCAATATAGTTTTCTAAAATATCTAAAAATCAACTTTAAAAATAAAGGAGAGAATGAGTTGTTTACTCCCTATATTACCTTTTCTTTTTTCTTATTTATTTCTCTCTCTTTCCTTATTTCTCTCTCTCTCCTTCCTTGCTTAAGTTTCTTTAGGGGGGTTTTATATAGAATTTCAAAAAAAAAATGTAATCATTACTTTTAATAAAAATTTGAAGAATTTAATATTACCTTGGTAAATATCTAAGGAATCTAATTATTACTTTTAGAAATATCTAAGGAATCTTAATCATTACATTTATAAAAATCTTAAAACTAATCGTTACTTTTCTTAAATATCTAAGATATTTTATTCTAAATATCTAAGATATTTTATATTTTATTCATTATTATTATTATTTATTTATTTAAAAAATATTACACTCAGCTTCAACTCTAACTTTCTATTTGAAGTGCACTGAAGGTTAACTATGTCAATCTACAACTTAATGTGATTGGCTTCGTTCAGGCTCAGTCTTTTCCGGCCGCCTCATCCTACTTACTCCACTCGCTATGTTTTGCTGCCAAACAGACTCTCTCAGAGGTTTTCCCGTGGATGTAATGCTTAGCAACCCATGCGCCCCTACCCGAGAGGTAAGTTTGGCAGCGCGAGTGATGTGGTAACAAGCCGAATCCAAAGTACATTGACATAAATGAAAAAAAGAAATATAAGAAGCGCCTATCCACTCATCAAGTAAAGAAAGACATTGATACATGGAGGACCAGGGTAGTAAAGTGGGGAAGGTGGACAGTAAGTTAGTCATTGCGTTAAGAACAAGTAGTAGAAGGGCGTGAATGTGTACTTTCTTTTCGGTTGTTGGGTATTTTATTAGTGGCAAGCCGATAGATAGGGTCATGAAGAGCCCAACGAATGGAGGACCAGAACTGCTTTGCTAAACACGCATATAGTTCAGTTCCCTCAATTCAACTCCAATATGCTTGATTCCAATCTCGAGGGGCTGAATCTGCTCCTAGAGAATAAAGCTTGTTGGCTATACCAGTATCCATCTATAGCCGTTAGTTCATTGGTGTCGGGGGAGTTTGGCCCCAACCTATTGTCCCTTTCCTCGTGGGGTGGGCTCCTCTGATAGGGTTTAGGGAAATCTACCTCTTTTCTTTCTTTTTCATTTTCGCTCCTTTTTCTTTTTCGTTCATTCCTTAGGTCTGTCTCATTCGGCGAATCTTGGGACTCTTTTTACTGGCTTCGGGCTTTGATCTTTCTCTTATCTGGTGTGGCGTCCTGCTTTATCTTTAGGTGTCCTTATTGGTCTCTATTCGCCACTGCGTAGCTCCTTAACTTCCCCTCTCCCCAGCAGTAGTCGGAGCTCACACAACCCTCATTTTCTTTCTCTGCACTTTAAGTCATCACCCTCTGCAGCATTTTTTTATTGGAAGCTCCTTATTGTAAGCTCTCTTCTTCTTCATCGTTTAATTATTCTTCCTGTGACGGTTGAGGTTATGAGAGAGCGCATTGGTTTTCTTCGCAATTTGGGGCTTACAAATGAAGACATTAACACTGTCGTCTGATCAGGTATGCCTCGAAGACTTCTTCAACTTTCTCTCTTGAAAATGTTGTGCAAAAATTGTGTTCTCCTAAATATAAAGCTAATAGAAACTAAAGAAATACTTGGATACCTATTGTACTGGGAATTTTTTTTTATTAATTGGCACATAAAAATGTGTGATACGTGATAGTATCAAAGGTTATTAAGAAAATATTAAAAGCAGGTATATGAAACAAGTCTATAATACAGTTGACATAGACAATACTAAACTCATCATGATTTGGGAAGGAATTCGTCTAAAAGTCATGCTAGAAAAATACTAAAATATAATTTAATTATTAGCAATACTGAAGCTATTATGATAAGATAGTACTCATGATATTTTTTAAAGTATGATAGTAATTTTGTCACAGTTTACATATTAAGATTAATACATATAAAATGAGTTATAAATTTGAACTAAATATTTTAGTTTCTAATTTATTTTTTCTGTATATAGTTGTTGTTTATTTTACTATATCTAAATATGTATTTATAAGATATGTCAATTAAGGCTAGCCGAACCGATTTGTGTTGGCCCACTATAAAGTGGCACAAATTTAGGTTGATATGTAGTGGGTCGTGGGTCAACTATAGTTCGAATTGACAAATTATTCAGATGGATCCTTGGCCTGTATTATTTTGACTTTGCTATACATTTATGTCTGAAAATGTTAATTTTAAATAATTTATTGAATTATCTTATATTAATAAACTTAAATTATTTTCATTAAAATATTTAAAATAAACTATCACTTAAAACATATGAATATTTATTTTAAAATAATATTTCGATAAACTTTAAAAAGGAATTATGATAATTTCGGGCTTTTGACTTTGCCCACGTCAAGTTGGGTCAAATTGGAGAGGACAAAATTGGTCCATTTTTTTTTTAAAAATAAAATTATTAGCTCAGCCCCCATATTTTGTTGAGTTATTCAGATTAACCGTGCTATGTTTGTAGCTGAATATTTATTGATAAAGTTTCTTTTACTCATATGTGTTTTAAATTTTTAATTATTTTAATAGCACTGTCAAATTAAAAGAGTTGAGTGATAGGAACTTAGAAAGTCTCCCATTTCTAAGAAGGCTTTATCTATAACTCCGAGATAGAGAATGTAATAGACAAAACAAAGATTTAATTTAGAGATATTTCAATCAATTTATTGTTTTGTGGCTAGTCTAATTTTAGGTGAATTCAAGAATTAAGGCTTTAAATTCTTCTCAAATATAATATTAATTTCGATAGAGAATGTAATAGACAAAAAAACAAACATTAAAATATTAAATCATCATCATCTACGACTATCATACAAGTAATTTTGATTTTGATTTCAACTTTAAATTTCGCAAATTAATTAATCATTTATGGCAATTTCCAATCTATGACATTTGGCTCTTTAATTTGTCCATACTCAGTAGTTAAGGAAATTCGCGACTTACCCAAAATCAAATCGGTATTGTACTCTTGGTTGAGGGAATTCATTTTTACTGATAATGTAAAAGTGCATTTCTCAATTGATGGGAAAAAATAATAATACTATGGGTAAGATGGGATTTTTGCTGATAGTGTAAAATTATACCACTTTCCGAGGGTTTTTGTCAAAATACTCGTACCAAAGATCCGACTATTGTACTATGCTGTAAATTACTCGTGTTAGTTGTTTCTTATGCCCAAAGGCAAAAGGCATAACTTATAATTAGGCCACACGTATCCTCCTCGATCCAAGCCAAACTTATAATTAATAAGTTAAGCTTGAATAAATTATTAATAGCAGATATTTATAATTTTTTATTCATTAATAAAGGTGCATTCCAACTCATTACTCATCACCAAATTTAATAAACCATCCGCGCGCTCGTGTATTATTTTAATACTTACGTAATATTTTTATCCTACAATGTTGAATCGGAGACAAGAAATTAAGTAATTAACAATCCCATTAGCCCTTAATTACGGAGTATCAGGGTGCGGATTCTTAGGGCAAGGAGTTCCCTTCACGTAACTCCTTTTCTCTATAATCGACAATCGTTTATAATCCTAATCATTGATAAACGGCTAGAATTTCAGAAATTCTCTCCAATTATTTAGTGTAAATTTAATAGTTAGTAAATATTTGAGAACTTATATTAATTATAAGAATTAATATTTCTCGTTCAAGGAGATAAAATAATTTCTTACCATTCCAAAATGAAGTTGTTGGATATTTTAATAAAATACATGATAAAAAAGAAAGCAAAATTATTAAAATATCCTGTATTTTCTTTCCAAAATTTAAATTAATATAATTTTAGAATCGTTGAAGATAACTTTATCTTTTGTTACATTAGAAATACTTTTCCCTTAAATATGTACTTAAAAAGGATAATATAACATCTTAAAGTCTTATATGATAATTGTGATAATATTCTCACATATGGAAATCAATTAGACATTTGTAGTTACATAAAATCATGATTTTATAAAAAAAAATATTATTATACATTAAAAATGATTAAATAAAGAGTTTGATATTCTTCATATTATAGAAAATAATTTTATCTCTTAAGTACACATAAAAATACATAAAAGATCTTCCGTACCTTTACGGTGTAAAAAATATTCTTATTTCCTATAACATATAAGACATTGAATCCTTAAATAAACTATGAAAAATTTAATTTTGATACACTACTTGTGTAAAAGTTATTTTAATCTCATACCATACCGTCCTTGTAAGTTGTAACAGAAAGTCAGCGAAGCAAAATCGTAAGGCAGGTTCATTGAACCTGGACACATCTGATTCTAACCCTCTTTAGTATTTATACCCCCTTTGCACTCTAACTGTTATTCCACACCAAACGGAAAACCAACCTTCAACTGACACTGCCAATTTCTTCTTTTCATTTCTTTCTCTCAAATTCCATTTCATTGCAACGAAGATGATGGCGGCGGTGATCGGAATCCGCGATAGCAAGAAGAAGAAGACGGAGGGTGAAACGACGGCGTTGCAGCTGAAGAAGAGGAACGAGGAGCTGGAAGAGGAGCTGAGGCAGAGCAAAGAGAGAGAAGAGCACATGAGGCGGCAGCTCCACGCCGCATTAGAGCGTCTCCGCGTGGCGGAGGACGCCGAGGAGCGACTTTGCTCTCAGCTCGGGGAGCTTGAAGCCGAGGCGGTTGAGCAGGCGCGTGATTACCACGCTCGCATCGTGTCCCTCATGAATCAGCTCTCCCTTTCCCACACTCTCCTCAATAGTAACACCAACCTTCCCTCCATTTCCCTCTCTTCATCATCCTGAATCATCTTCAGTTCCCTTCTTCTTTCTTCTTTTCTTTTCTTTCTTTTCGGTTTGAAGTGCTCTGTACAATTTTTCTGTTGTTAACAAAAAAAAAAAAAAAAGGTTCAGTGTTAATTTACAAGTTGGCTTTAGTGGTTTGTTTTGCTGCTAGGACTATATGGTTTTTAATTTTATTGAGAGATCTCAATTTCGTGGTCTAAGACATTGGTTATATCATCCAACACGGAAGAATCTATGCAATTCTTTTTATAGAGTGTTGATTAATTTTTTTTTTTTGGATGTATGATTGCTAAAAATTGACGTTTGATTGTGTGGGTTTAATTTAGACTGTAAAAAAAAAAAAAGTAAGGACGTTTTAAAAATAAAATATGCTAAAATATAACTTTCTACTAAATGATATAAAAAATAGAGGGAGCCCTAAACCCTAAATGATATAAAAAAATAGAGGGAGGATGTAATATATATATATATATATATATATATATATATATATATATATATATATATATAGGCTTTAATGTTTCTAAAGTGAATGTAGATAAATTATCTACATTCGTTCTCAAAACGACGTCGTTTTGGATTGAAAAATTAAAAAATTATAACGAAATAGACTATTATAACCCTGAAATAAATTATAATTACAAAAATATATTGATTTATATCTCAAAACGACGTCGTTTTGAATTCACGGTAGATAAGTTATCTACATTGAAAAAACGAATCCATATATATATATATATAGAGGAGGTTATATTTGTTACCATTTTTTTTATCACATTTTATTATTAATTTTGTTATCGTTGGATCAAAATTAAATTAAAGGCTTTTATTTATATTATTTTATAACTGTTGATTTGATTTTAATATAACGATAACAAAATTGATAATAAGAAGTGGTAAGAAAAATTATCACTAAAATATATACATATCGCTTCTCAATTTTAATCAATTATCCCTAAAACTTCAAAGCATGATAAAAAAAACAAAGAAAGGAGAGAGAGAGAGAACCGATGAGAGTTAAAGTAGACACAAAATCATCGTCGTCGTTTTTTTCACGAAGACAAATAAAAATGCTTTTTCCTTATTTGGTAGTGCACGTATGTATTTGGCATTTGCTTTTAAGGGTGTTCAACGTCCATCTGGATTTGGCCTCAAACCTAGTGTTGGCCGTTGGGTCACGCGGGTATGAATATCAATATCATATAATATTTTCAAAATTAAGAATTTTAATCTTTAGTAAACAGATTTTTCTGACAAAAAAATGGTATTTTGTATATAATATGTAAAATATATTTAATATTAATATAATTTGTATTTATCGACCAATTCAACTATCAAAATATTGAGTATTAAGTTCACTTATAATATTTTATCGTCCCGACTTAGGTTCATGATGCACCTCTTATAGCGGTGACTTAAAATTTGTTTATTAAGTTCACTTATAAAATTTTATCATATAACAAAAGTTTTCAATGGGCTAAGATACCCTGACGGTTTTTTTAAAAAAAATTGCAAATGATCCTAATGTCAACAAATGAGGCAAGGGCTTTAGGTCTCGTCCACATAAAAGATATATGGACAACATTGCAAGTTGTTTATGACTTTATTCTTTGGACCCAAATATTTAATAGATGCTCATGACATCTTTGGAAAACATGGTTGGTTGGTTGGTTGTGCAGTATCCAATAATATCACGAGTGCAGAAGTGGTCCAGCATGAACATATATAGCTATAACGACAAAAGCATGTCATGCTAGACTAACAGAAAACAAGTATTCAAATCCTCCCTTCTCTCCATCTATAACATCTTATTCGCCAATAAACTGATAAAAGATAGTGTTAAGTAAGAAATATTATCATAAATTATACCATTATCACATCATTACTATTAAGATGAAACATTATTATTTTTAGCCTTCTTACCTGATAAGTGAATTAATAATCCTTCGCGAGGATTACACAAAAATATGTACCCCTATTGTGTTTAACTGCTTTTTGTTTGATCCTAGTGAGCCAAGGGTTAATTTTGAATATTGGTTGTACTTGTGTTATCTTTGATTTAAATTGACCAGATTCCTTCTATCCTTAGTTCACTAAATTTCTGCAGAAAATTTAGCTTAAGATATATCATTTGAGAGAATAACTTTGTAGATTCTTATATTCCTGGTTGCATAGCAAATTATTACTGTTTTCTTCCTCCAAAGAATTTTTTGCAGGATTTACAAGTTATCTCTGGAGGGCAGTAGGTAAACTGAAATTAGTACTAGGTGCTGCTTAGCAGATATATAGCACCATTGGTTCTTAATCAGCTCCCAACATATTGGAGCTTTGGAAGAGTAATTTCTGTATTAATTTGTTTCCTTTGGATTCTTCATGTGTTTCCATTTCCATCTCCTTGTCTAGCTAGGCCTTTTTTTTTTTTTTTTCCCTGTCCTCCTTTCATGAAACATTTATGGGATTCTCTTCTGGCATTGTTTCATATAAGTGACCAGGCCCTTACTACAAATACAGAGATAGTGGCAACCAAGAGAAAGATTGTCACTCGAAAGGGCAAGAGAATATCTGAAGAAGAATTGACTTGCTGAACCCTCTCATAGGGCAGTCCAGTTGATGCTGGTGGTGGAGGAGGAAATGCACCATTTGGTGTTCCAATCCTGTGTTGTTGTAGTGTAAAATGTTGGTTAAGTCTTAGTATTTTGTTTGCAAATATGTAGCAATAAATTGAAAGAGAATGAAAATACTAATCAGAATTGAGGTAGAAAATAATCAAAATATATACCTATTGCTGTTGGGACAGAAAACAAGGTCATATTCATAAGCTTTGCAAGTGAAAGTGCTGGTGCCATCATCAAATGCATAACTATAAGCTCTTGGACAAGCCCGCTTGAAAATGGTGGAATAATAGGAGGGCTTGCATGTTGTTGGGTTTGCAAATTCTCCACTGCAGCAATACTGATCCGATCCAAATGCCTCGCAAGCACTCTTACACCCAACTACATCCCCTTGGTATGCATCTTCACCAACTACTTGCAGTTCTTTTGGGCAACCTATAAAATTGCATTTTTTTATTGTAAAAGTTAGCCCTGTCATTCTAGCATATGTAATGGCTTGAAATGTTTTTAGTACTTATTTTTTTATTTGGTTTCTGTACATAATAAATTTCAATTTAGTCCCAATACATAATTATTTCAATTTGGTCCTCATATTTTACGGTAACTCTGCAGATCTTTTTGTGTTATATGGCAACAAACGATAAGGATGAAATTAACAACAATTTCTTCTAAGGAGTAATTTTAACCATACATAATTATATGTAGAACCTAATGAACCGTGTTATAGTTTACTGCTTCATTGTGTTATAGTTTACTGCTTCATTTTTAAATTAAAACTCTTACCTATGTTGATATCAGTCACACAACCTGTGGCATTACAGGCACCACTACCATATACACCTCTTGGTAGAACAAGCAATGGTAGATTGTAGCCATCTACCATGCTGACATCATAGTAGTCTTGTTGGTAGTCTTTACCAAGTGTTATCTCAAACAGTGAGGTAGGTGGAGTTGCACCATTTCCATCACATTCTAACCTTCCACCACAATCACCTGTTTGGCAATTACCAATTCCTGTTGTATCAAATGTGCAACCAGTCCTTGCCCATATTCTACCTGACCATTCTGGAACACTTGTAACTTTGGCACTTTGGCCTGAGTCTAGTTGGAATCCGGTGGTTGGAAGTGCAGGTGTGCCTGCACCTGAAAGTGTGCCAGGCCATATAGTATAGGGGCAATTGTTGGTTATGATGAAAATACAAGAGAAAGAGCAAGATAATAAATTTAACAAAATAAGAAGGAAACTAGGGAACTTCCAGGATGCCACTATTGGCATTTTTCAATAATTCTTGTTGGCGTTATTGGGGTGTGTCCCTGGGGGAACTAGAGGGGATTGGATGAGCCAGGAATGGCCAATCCTCCCCATATTTGTAAGTTAAGGATTTTTAGCTTTATGGGTTTAGTATTTCTTTTATTGTGGATGGCCTATTTTAGAAGCAATTCTTTGCCTTTGCTGTTTCATGGGAAATTGTTCAAATAAGGAAATCTATGTTACCTCTATGACCGGAGAATCATGATTTTACTTCAAAGAATCGTGTCAGGGACTGGGATTCGACCGTGTGGGAAGTTGCATAGGATGATCCTATAAAGAAGTGACCTAGGATTCCTCCTACATAGAGGAACATTAACTAGGTAATACGTTAGAGGGAAACTTCGGTAAGCACATTTCCCTTGGTAGTTCACACCAAACTACAACCCTTGACTTCTAAACAGTGGCTTCAGAACATTGAAATAACCAACTACTGATGTTTCAAACGAGGAAAAGAACAACTTTTCAACAGTAAAATTGACCACAACCTCCTTCAAAGATATGCTAATAATTATTATCAATGGGAACACACCGTTGGGAGACTAACCCCACCCCACCTACCTGATAATTATACTCACAAAACTTCAGGTGTAAAGTTCGTAGTTTAAACAACTGTAAGCAATAAAAATAAGAGTAAACATTCTTTTTGATCTCTGACAATATCTACGAAATCTTTTTTAGTCTCTAGCAATAAAAAAGGACCAAATTGGTCCCTAAAATTATGAAAAAAGGGCCGCGTTAGTCCTTATGTCAACTCTTCCATCACTAACGTGACCCTTTTTACACACTGTTAGGGACCAATTTGGTCCTTTTTTATTGCCAGGGACCAAAAAAGATGTTTATTCTAAAAATAATTAAAAAAAATCATAATTTCGTGGAAAACAAAATTGTAACTTCTCAGCACGTTTTTCTTTTTAAAATCCCATATTTTGGAGAAAGAATAGAAATTTCTCTCTGCCTGTATTGTAACCGAAAAGACTATATAAATTTAAGTAAAATTATCCTATATCATATCAATTTTTATAAAATCATCATTACCGATAAAATTTTAACCCTATTTATTACTGTACTATTCAATGAAAAGCGGGTAAAGTAATTGGCGTAAAAAAAATCCACTAATAAGAAAGCTACATGAAAATTAACAGTTCCGAATTTCATTGATCGGATAACTTGGCATAAGCCATAAATAAGGATACCAAAAGTTGGAAAAAAAAAAGTTATATTACAAACCTCTAGCTTCACAAAAATCACAGAATAAATTTTTACATAGCTTATAATATAACAGAAGTATAAAATTTAGCAGTATTCGTTAACAGGGCAATTCGTAGAATTTACTTTCAAAACCAGGTTATTAATTCCAACCCTCCACTGAATAGAAGATTAATATGCAGGTTTGACAGATTGATGGTGATGATGATGATGCTAAGTATCCCTGGTAAATGTTAAGCCTCCTTTTATTTGCTCAATGTCATGTCACCTCACCGTCTACAAGAAATAGACCACATGTTCGAAGACAAACACAATGGGTCTGAAATTTCAATTTAAATTAATATTTAAGATTGGGCATCCCTGCTTTTTCAGCTTTCCATACTGTGTCTCTGTATCACCCCTGAACAGTATCATAACAGTTCTTGTCTCAATTCTATTGACATTCTGTAGTGTCAGGCAGGATCACCTGCTTAGTCTTTTTAACTTTTTACAGCGAAACTAATGTTGGCTTCTCCAAACTTCAGCAAAGACAGACTCAAACATAAGTTGCAATGCCTGTGCCTACATTAAGAAAAGAAGACATTTATCAATATTTCATGTTATAACATAGCGCAATCTATATCATAAGAATTTATCACAGTATTGCAAAACAAATGTTTTGAACCCTCCTTCCTAGCACATGCTCCAAAACCTGCACAAGTTACGCTAACCTCAGACAGCCAACTGTCAATCAAATCACAGAAAGAAAAGAAAACAGAAAAACAATTAAGATATATGAAACTGTGAACTAGATTATCTCCCTTGAGCCTGTAATAGAAATAGGAAGAGTAGTTAAGCAGCTAAACCAATATCAGTTTTCACCAGATAACATACCAACAACTTTGTTCATATGAAGAAGAACTGGAGATAACCTGAGCTTGCAGAAGTCAAGGTTATCAATATAACCCTAAATAGGTTTATCAGCAGGGACAAAATTAATAATTGTGTGCTATTCTAACATAATTAAGGAAAACTAAAGTGAAAGTGAAACAATACAACTCATGAGAGTAGTATTAGTAATGAGTACACTAATACTAGAATAAGGCTGCTTTGTGATTACAGATACACTAGAAACTTAACAGTCGGTTAGAAAAGGGTTATGGTTAAGTACATTGCTCATGCATACAACATTCAGGTCCAAATCAAATTTAACCATCGTAAATGCCAGAATACATCGTGCAGTCAGCTATAATAGTTAGCTTCTCACTATGGTTAGCGAGAAATTGAAATCAATTCAAGTGTCATAAACGTGTACTTAGAGCCTGCTCAAATCCACATTCAACAGTCAAGCTACTTTAAATGCTACATTACATAAATACTAGAAATATAATGACTTCCTACAGCAGATGGGGACACATCATGTCCACCAATAACTAATCCATAATTGTTCAAGTTCTGTTATCGATACTCATCCAATAGAAAATGTAAAAAAACTTCAAAGAGACAAGAGAAATGATAAAGAGTCTTTTCAGTTATATAGTAGAATCTAGTTCATATCCATGCCATCTCCAACTTGGCTGCAGATAGGACTGACAGCTGAGAAAGATCTCTCGAAAGGAGAAGGATGGTATTGTGCATCCTTTCTACGCTTAAAACCGCAGCTATCAGTGGATGAATTCTCTGCATCAAGCTTTCTGCGAACACCTCTCACTGCTTGTTCCTCTGCTGGAGTAAGAGGAAAGATTTGACCACTTGATAGGCAAAGGGAGCTATGGTTATCATACAGAATTCTCTGGTTACAGTTTTTATCACAGATGTGAGTCAGCCCCGTTAGCTTGCAGCGATACATATTTCCACAAACATGTTCATTTTCACATTTCCAGTCGCATTTGTGAACGGGAATTGGACCATCTTGGCCTAAAATACTTGACAGATAAATAACATTTGCAGGAGCTGCAACCATAGATTTGCCATATACCTCCATTTCTTGAGTCCAAACAGAAACTTCTAAGATTCCAATCTAATACACACCAACTTCAAGGCCTTGCCTGAATTGTCTGCAGGGCCCACCACAACAACACAAATTCAGTCAAACTCAACAAAAACTGACCATTTTGGCTCTAAAGAGATATAACGACCCACACTCTCATATAACCAGCCAACCTTACCTCGTAAATTAATTTCACTTAACCTTCCTTGTAAACAATAGACTAATTTCACACTCTTCTATAACTAATTATTCCATTTCAGAAAAAAGGTTCTAACACATGCGTGTTAAATGAGAACACTGCTTCCATAAATTAGACCAATTATTCCATTAATGTAACAGCCTATGAAAATTGGACAACCAAACACAAATAACTAACAAGCTTTTGACAACCACAGACAAAAATGGAATTTTGCAGTTCAGAAAATGAGCAAATTCTCATTATAAATCTAACTCACAAAGCATAAACATGTAAATCACGTATATTTACTATCGTTCTGGCTAATAAGACAAACCACGTATATCCTAGGAGCAAAACAAATATCCACATGCGGCAGATCTAAACCAAGGCCAATCAAGATTTCAAAAACAACATACAACATGACAATTAACACAAGCACCATGAAAAATTAACAAGTCATCCATAATTAAGCACCTTAAAAACCTGAAGGTATTGAATATGTGCACGTACATAATTTTCATGCACATAATCATTCCTATAAACACCCACCCCCCAAAGCAACAAATTAACAATACTCATTCCCACACCCCCGCCATTTTAGAAACAAAAATCCTGAAAAATAATTATTTTAAAAAAATGCATTAAGAAAAGTGTCTTTACACAAACATACTGAGATTAAGATGGAAAGAACATGAAATCAGGATGAAAAATGAACCTAACTCCAGAAGAGATAAAATGAAGGAAAAAGAACTCACATGCTCTTCAACAAAGTCAAGCTCCCAAGTCTTCCTCCTCAGTACCTACAAAATGAGGAAAGAGAAACAACAAAAAAAATACCGAACAATTAAAAACACTAAACTTTCTCTCTGCAGGTCAGGTATTTATAGAAACAAGCCACTGATGGTTACACTTATTGGACACACACACACCAACGTAGGACAAAACACTAACAAACGGAAATGCACGTCAAATTTCGGGTAAATTGTGACCCAAATGTGAACATGTCATCCTCGGGTCGGGTCATGTCAGCCGGCAACTTCACCTACAATTTTGGATTAACTATCGGATCCAAGTCCAACGTTCTTGCTCAACCCATCAACCTTTTTTTATTTTTTATTTTTTTTTTCAAATTGTAAAAACAAATTAAAATATTTGTGTCTTTTTTACCGTTTGTGCACGTGTCCCCACAACGGATCTTGCACGCTCTAATGTTTAATTAACCATTCAATCTTCAAATTTTTTAAAACAAAACCGGATTAGGAGGAGAGATAAAGAAGGACGTACGACGAAGACTTTTTCCTCCTATTGGAAATCGACACGTGTGAGAACGAGCGACACTCTCGTCATATTTCAGTACTTGCTTGCAAGTTGCAACCATGCTACTGGGCCCTGGCCTGGTCCATACCGGAATTTTGGGCTTAAGGCTAAAAGCCCATGACCCGAGGTTGACCCGTCTATCGTAATCGGACCTTATCTTCTAGGGTTTTCTCTGCGTTATCAATTTCTCTTGTTTGTGTTCTGAGAATTTGGATCTTCGATTTTCGTTTTCGAGTTGAGTGAGGGAAAAGTATCATGGTGGGATTTAAAAATAGATACATGGTGATGGAGGTTTTTGTGAATCCTAATAGAGACAATGTGGGCGATGATGTTATAATTACCCAATTTAATGTCTCCAAAGCTATAAAAGACAGCATCTTGTTGAATTTTGGGGAGTGTGGTTTGGGTTCATCACTGGGATCATTCCAGGGTAAGTGGTTATATAATCTGCATCTAATTCTTCTTATCATATTTCCCTGCTGTTTATTAATTTTCTCCAGTTAAATTCGAATTCAATTTCTCTTTTAATGCAATTTTTCTTCTTTGATGATATTCACACTTTTGTGTGTGTCTCTCTCTGTGTGGGTGCAGTCAAGTATGTGAATCCAATCACGAACATGTGTATTATTAGGGCTTCAAGAGATGAGTATCAAAAAGTATGGTGTGCCATTACAATGGTCAGAAATATTGGAAACTACCCAGTGATGTTTAACTTGTTGGATTTATCTGGTAAGACCGAATACTGCATGTTTTTTTTTTTTTTTTGTGTGTGTGTGTGTAAATTCCTTCATGAAAATATTGGAATAGAAAAACATCAGTACGTTAGATAGTATCTTTAGGGGCCGTTTGGTTCGGGTTTTCTCAAGATAACCCAGGCAATACAAATTGGAAATTTACGAAGCCAACGTTTGGTTCAACTTTTTTTAAAATTTCCCCATCAAAGTGAGTTGCCTAGCTTTCACAATTCTTTGCAAAATAAAACGAGAAACACAGAGGAAGATTTCCACTTTCAATGTAGTATTGTGTGATAACCAGGCAAATAGGATACACAGAACTTCATATATGACTGAACTACCCTTCTGATAAATCAGAACAAGACTGTTGAAGGTTGCATACAGTGACTTTATAATTATTAAGGGGTTAGTTTTGTAATTTATATCATTTACCCATCAATATTTTATCCTCAACCAAACATAGACTTCAATAACTTTAATCAATTTGTCTGGTAATATTTTTTCCAACCAAACAACTTTTTTTTAACTTTCCTACCAAATTCACTTTTCAACCATTTCCCCCATTTCCCTAGTAATCACATTTCCCTAGTATTCAAAAAATTTCACCTGAACCAAACGCCCCCTTAGGGAAAAGAAGCGGAAAAAATCGAGAAATTCTGGTAATATTGCATATGTTATTGTCATTAAGTTCCAGAGTTCATTTTTCTCTTTTTAATCATCAAATCTTTACAAAATGCTACTTATTATCCTGTCATTTATCAATCAATCACAATAGCATGTGTTCATTTTTCATAACTAGTACTTTGCCCTCAAGTAGCTGTGGTTTTATCATTTATAATGAGATATATTATCAAATAACATAATACAAAAATTATGAAATGGAGGTCAATTTATCAGGGCACCTATACTGTAATAGTAAAAGCAAGAAATATGGACCTTGGAACAGACTCTAGAGGAAAAATTGAGTTTTTGGGTTTCTCGGTAATAATTGATTATCAATTCCCAAAAAATTAATTAATAATGGGTAGAGATGACAATTAAGGTGGAGGCTTGGCAAGTTGATAGAATGACATGGACTGTATTTTATCAATGGGAAAAACATATATCCTTTTAAATGATATAAGCTTATGTCATTTTAGATCCTAACCGTTGATTTTCGTCCATCAAAGGTTATAATCTATTGGGCCAAACTTAATGGGGCAAATTTATTATTAATTATTTAATAATTTTAATCCAATAAATTATAATCGTTGATGGACGAAAATCAACGGTTAGGATCTAAAATGATATAAGCTTATATCCTTTAAAATGACAGATGTTATTCCCTTTATCAATTAAGGTGAAGCTTGCTATAAAGAGGGAAGTGAGGTTTTTGGATGGAAATTGGTTCACAGGAATTTAATGGAAAATTGAGTTTTTGGGTTTCTCGGTAATAATTGATTATCAATTCCCAAAACATTAATTAATAATGGTAGAGATGACAATTAAGGTGGAGGCTTGGCAAGTTGATAGAATGACATGGACTGTATTTTATCAATTAAGGTGAAGCTTGCTATAAAGAGGGAAGTGAGGTTTTTGGATGGAAATTGGTTCACAGGAATTTAATGGCATTGTTGGAGTTGTGTGGACTGGGTGATGACCTATGATATACTGACACTTTAAAAAACTTAACGTGTTGTGTCCGACACTCTCCGACACTCCAACATGAGTTGCAGAGACTCAAAAAAGGGTTCGAAGGTTGCGTTGCGTTACTTTTTTAGTTCCAACTATTAGATTCGTTGGATTAGGATTACCATTTTATTGAGTTTAATAAATATTTGAGATATCTTATGTTTCTTTGCAAAATTGATGGGTATTATAAATTTAGTTTCATTTTTTTGTTAAATTATTGAATATTAAATATAATATACACTACACAAATTAAAAATATTATTTAATATCAAAACGTGTCGAAATCTAGCATTTTTTAGAATTAACAATTAGTCTAGTCGTGTCGTGTCCTGTGTCGTTGTCGGTGCAACATAGGTTTTGATGGTATCATGCTGTATATTAGTTTGATTTATAGAACATCATGTTTACAGTCATCGGAATGGAACTTTTTGATTTGTTTCGTCAATTTGATTACATCTTGCCGTTGGCCACATGCATGATATCTGTCATATCTTTCACTTGAAGATTTGATCATGAACATATAAATCCTGATATGAAATGTTACCTTTTGGTTCAGGAAGTATAAAGGCTTGTAAAACTGCTGCCTTGAAGTGTGAGGAATCAAAGTTTGAGCAGTACAAACTTATGGTTGGTGATCGACTCTCACCTGATGACACTCATCGCATGAATAGCTATCTAGACAGGATCAAAGTTTTGGAGCACTGAATATTTGGTCACTACCGAATGCCTCTTTGTTTCTTTGACAAATTGCCTATGATGATGTGTGAAATTTAAATCTCTGTAGTCATGGGCATAGGCTACATGTGTTATTTATGCTAGTTCAGTGCACACTCTTCACAGAAGATTGCATCTTCTGTTTAGTTTGTTCTCTGACTTACCAATTTTCCTGAAGTTTAGCTGTGGTAGTACCTACTGTATGGTATAGAGTTACAGCTTTCCTGAAGTTCACATGATTCGTTATGCTCTTATTTTTGACCCTGCAGCCAGTTTCTTCCACTTGCCTTTCACTTTAATTGTCTAGATTTATAGGAAGAACATAATCTATTTAATATTTATTGATTAGCTTTTATACTAACTGTAATGAATCTGTTGCTTGAAGAAATTGAAGCCAAGTATTGTTATCACTTATGAGATGGAACTTTTCTTCGTTTCTCACCTCTTCCCTGTAGAGAGCGTCAGCATCATTTCAGGAAATGCTTCACTTTTCTGATAAATTTGAACAATTTGTCTTTTCCGGGAATACTAGCTAATAAATGAATGTCTCTCTTATATTAAAATATCATGTGTTAGGGAGTGACCCTAACACTAGTGTGGTGGTTGTTTTTCAGCCTAAGATAGGAAATTATGAAGTTGCTTAAGCAATGGATAAGTTCCCCACCGTATCAGTACTCGCATTTTGTTAGTTTCAAGAGTTATAACATAGACTAGGAAAAATTACAATCAGACTTTATTCATTTTATGGAACACAGTCATTGTCATAGATAGCTCGTGGTACTAATATAAGTTTGTCATTTACGCTGGTTCCAATTTGGGTACTTGAGCCTTTTGAGACTTTGTTGCTCAAGAAAGAGATTTTAGCAGGGACCATTCAAATGAATGAAAACACCCCTGAATGAAAAAAGAAAAGAAAAAAAGAAGGCGATCCTATACATTGCATCCAAATGATCCAATCCACAAACACACGTGGATTCCATATATTTTTATTTTAGAAACTATCAAAATCATTTATTTACTTAGCAAATACAAAGAAGATTTTCCATTATCACATTTTTCATTATTCAATTAAAAATTCATTAACATCAATGATTCCTATGAATACCCATAATTATTTATGGATTTAGAATAATCAAAATTCAATATCGCCCTTTAATCAATAGATATAAAAGTCAAAATCTAAACTGATTCAATTGAAAGTGTTATCCATTAAGAGTGTACTTCATAATATTCTAAAAATTATTTTTTTTACTTATTTTTAGTATGGAAATAAAAATAGTTAACAATAACGCTTAATAAAACTGATTTATCATCTTACCAAAAAAAAAAAAAAACTGATTTATCATTATATTTCAGAGAATGAACTAATAGATTAGGAACACAAACTGAGAAAAATAAGAAACAAATCTTTCTTGTTTATTTTTTCCTTGTTTATTTTTTCCTTGACACCAAAAAAAAGAGAAACGAGACAAGAATCTATCACATGCATCAAATTTTATTTTGATTTTGTAGCAATTCGTAAATATTCAAAATAAATTGGAGACTTATCATTTTTTAATAGAATATAATATTAGTTATTTATACTTTAAATATTATAGATACATAATCTTATATATTATTCTCAAGCACATTTTGACATATTCCCTTGACAAAAATATTTGATATATATATTTATATAATCATTTTTTAATATTAAGATAATAATATGATATTATAAAAAATAATTTATATTTTTTAGTATTTTTCATGAGATAAAATCTTATATTTAGTTTGGATATTACTTTTTTAAATATAAAATTTTGACATTTTTGTTATAATGTCTTGTGATTTAGTCATCTTATAAGCATTGAATGATAAAAAAATAAAACTATATCTTTTTCAAAAGTAAAGAAATAAATTTATATTCTAATATTAAACATAATTATATTCCTAAAATAAAAAAAATTATATCATCAAACATATTTATCTGTCTAAATTTTTTTCCTAAGTAAAATATAAAAAAAAAAATCATTTCTCCCCCCAAAAAATATATGTACAATAACACTAAGGGCCTGTTTGGTGTGATGTATAAGGCCTGATAGTATAAACTTATACTATACGTTATGACATTTTCAGTTGTTTGGTGTGACCATCGTATAGTATAAGCTTATACAGCAGGATCCCTTTATACATCAAAATGATGTATAACTTAATCGGCCTAGGAGTGGGGGATTAGACCTGATAAAGGGTTGATGTATTAATATTGCTTACAAGTACAATTCCCAAGAACTAATATATCATTTCAATATTTATATATCAAAATAAATTTTTTTAATATATTAATTTTTAAAATATTGAAGGATATTATCTTATACAATATCATACCAAACGCTGGATAGTATTAAAATTTAATCAGGTTTTATACAATCAGGTCTTATACTATCAGGTCTTATACTATCAAGCCTTATCCTATACTATGCACCAAACATGCCCTAAGGGCCTGTTTGGTGTGATGTATAAGGCTTGATAAGCTTATACTATACGTTATGACATTTTTAGTTGTTTGGTGTGACCATCGTATAGTATAAGCTTATATAGCAGTATCTCTTTATACATCAAAATGATGTATAACTTAATCAGGCCTAGGAAGGTAGGATTAGGCCTGATAAGGGATTGATGTATTAACCAATGCAATTCTCAAGAATTAATATAGTATTTTAATATTAAAAAATGAATTTTTAAAAAAATTGAAGATTTTTATTTTTATAAAAAATAATATATTTTTTGGATACACTGATCAACAGATTTCTATAAAAATTAATATCATTTAATATATATGTGAGAATTATATAAATTCATTATTAAAAGATATTTTTGTCAAAAATATTTAATTTTATCTTATCTAATATTATACAGTGTATTATCAAACATTGAATGATATTATCTTAAACAATATATTATCTTATACAATATCATACCAAACGCTAGATAGTAGTAAAATTTAATCAGGTCTTATACAATCAGGCCTTATACTATCAGGTCTTATACTATCATGCTTTAGTCATCTTATAAGCATTGAATGATAAAAAATAAAACTATAATTTTTTCAAGAGTAAAGAAATAAATTTATATTATGATATTAAACATAATTATATTCCTAAAAGAAAAAATATTTCTGCAGTTGCTGCAGATAAATTATTTGCAATTATTTCCAAAATGACGTCGTTTGGATATTGAAATCTTAAAAAATTATAAATATAAAGATTATTATAACCCTGAAATAAATTAAAATTACAAAAACACCATGATTTGCGCCCCAAAACGACGTCGTATTAAATTTACTGCAAATAACTCAAATGCAGTAACTACACAAAAACACGAACCTTTCCTAAAAATAAAAAACAAATTATATCATCAAACGTATCTGTCTGTCTAAATTTTTTTCCCAAGTGCAAAAAAAAAATTTAAAAATTTTTCTCCCAAAAAAATAATGCACAATAACACTAAATAATGTAATCCTTATAGTGAGGCGCCGGATCCCATCTACTTTTTCTCGAAAATTACCATTATCATTTATTTAGCAAAACTGCAGGGCCAATGGATTACATAAATTTTTTTCCAATAACAGTTGGAAAAGAAAAGAAAAAAAATTTAAATGTGAATATATATACCCAAACAGTGCAAATGCTGTGTGTTTGTTTGGTGCTTACGCGTATAAAGCTCCCATCTTTTTGTTAAATGTGATTTGATCTATACACACGGCAACACCCGTGTTGCACTTGTGTTCTCTTCAATCTTTTACATAACAGATAATAAAATAGGTCACAAGAAGGAATAGAGAAAGTAGATCAGATTTTGAATCTCAGAATCCATTTTTTTTTTTTTTTTTTGGTGACAAATTTCTATTTCTCTCGAGTGTAATTTCGTTAAAACCATTGCCATAAAATGGAAAAGAAACTCCTTGATTTCATATTAGTCCCAACTGGTCTTTTTATAATGGTGGCATACCATATCTGGCTCCTCCACAGAGTGATGACGCATCCCACAAAAACTGTCATTGGCATCAACGCAATTAATCGCCGTTTGTGGGTTCAAGCTATGATGGAGGTAAAAAGTTTATTTTTTTCACACTCATTTGTATTCAAGTTTTGATTTTGATTCATGGGTTTTGATTTGATCTTACATATATATTGATTTTGTCATGTGGGGTGTGAAGGATGTGTCCAAGAATGGGGTTTTGGCAGTGCAGTCTTTGAGGAACAATATAATGGCATCGACCCTTTTGGCTTCCACTGCGATAATGCTGAGTTCCCTCATTGCGGTGTTGATGAGCAGTGGCAACAAGGAGAAAAGCGTTATGTCGGAGGTTTTAGGGGACAGGAGTGAGCTTGCTTTGTCTATAAAGTTCTTCTCCATATTGGTGTGTTTCTTGTTGGCGTTCTTGTTGAATGTGCAGTCCATAAGGTACTATAGCCATGCAAGTATCCTCATCAACGTGCCCTTCAAGAAATTGTCACCAAGCCATAGGCACCAGAAGCTCACAGCTGATTATGTTGCCAACACTGTCAACCGAGGCAGCTATTTTTGGTCCCTTGGCTTGCGTGCCTTCTACTTCTCTTTCCCTCTTTTCTTGTGGATCTTTGGTCCCATTCCCATGTTCTTTTCTTGCTTTGTCCTTATTTTCTTGTTCTACTTCTTGGACGTCACCTTTGAATGTGGATGGGATGGAGTTGGTAATACTAACACAGTTGAAGATGAAGTACAAAAGCTCCATGTTGATATGGAAATTGGAAGGGCCAATTAGAAACTAGTTTGTTGTTAGTGATACATATATAAATAACCTTTTGCTGATTAGCTCATAGGCTAGCAAAGGATGTGTAACATGGCACCTTCCAATGTATTGGATGATAGACATGAATATTCAAGTTCAACTCAAGTTGAACTAAATTTCATGTCTACTCATTTAGGACCTTATAGATGGTTAAAAATTGTGTAATAAGAGTATGTTTGTTGCAACATTATAAATTTTTCAAATCAGTTTACATAATCTCATTAAAATTCTCAGGCACGCTCCCTAATCAAGGAAAGCACAGAACACAGAGAACAAGATTTGTTTCTTTTCACTCTGCTGTATTGATTAATGGGGTTCACTTCGGCACTTTTATTAAAAAGATCGGAGTATCATACTACCTTTTATAAAATTACATGCTGAATAATGAAAATTACACACTGAGCAATAAAATACTGTTTAGCTTTATGAATCAATCTGTAACTTTTGTAAGTGCTTGTTTTTATTATTTAGTCTGCTTATAAAAATTATAATATTTTTTTTTTTTTTGAAAAGATTAATAAGTGGTTTAAGGTTGTTGAGGTGCTTTCATAAGATGCAAGCAAATTTACAATTCAATCGTGATGGTAGTAACAACAGGTAATTCAATTTCTTCCGTGGGGCGGTGCAAACCTTTGCAGTGTGGTGAGAAATATTACTGCATTGTTTATGTTCTTTTATGACTCAATGAATTATAGCTTTCACGCTGTCAAAGACCTTAGTGCATTGTCAATTGTTGATTACGAAGGACAAAATTAAATGACGCGAAGAATAGAACCTCCACCCCTGTCCTTTGTCTGTGGAGGTAAGCTCAGGCTAAAAATGGTATTTGCTTTTTTCCGTATAAGTGCAAGTTGATCTTACGCAGGCAGTGATCACATTTTTAAGGACTCGTTATGTGTATAGATCCAAAAGATATTTTAATATAAAAAGATAATGTAATAAATGATTTGCTTAAAGAATGCCGAAGTTACAATATATACTAAGTACATAATACTTGAGGTAATAGTATTTAATTATCTGATAACGAATATAGGAGTGCTTTACACTAATGCGCTATGTCTCAAGGTCAAGAATATACAGCCAACATCATAATTATTATTTTATTCCAGTGTTCCCCCATCAAGTCCTAGACCAAGAGCTTTCCAGGGCACAGCAGAAGAGAATATTCATATATGCTAATGTAAGTTTTACATAATTTTTCATACAACTTATATAACCTCAATTACTATCATTCCTTCCCCCACGCCAACCTTCTTTTTCCATTTTCTTCGTCAAAATTAAATCAGTCCCAATATGAGATGATGTGATAAAAATTTATGTAAACTGACACTTGTCATTCATATTAGAGTTTTTTTCCCTTAATTAATTCATTTTGTAGTTGGCTACACATTTCAATACAACATTGAAACAATGCATGGTACATACATGCACGAGAGAGTGAACTTTGTAAGTCTCGGCTCTGTATATTGAAAAAATGCTTGTCAACCTTGAAAAATCCCCCTGATAATTAAGAAGATATAGGTTGATGTGTGAATGACCTCTGGAATTGAGAACCTCTATTCCAGAGACATAATCTTTTTGTAATCCATCCTTTTAGTGGGTGAGATATTTGAGTGAAATTCTCTTAAGTTTTGTTTCAGATAGGAATACTTTATAGTTCTACTTTCATAATAGATGTTTTCTGGAACCTTTGATCCATTTATTTTTACTCATTATATTGAAGTTCAAAGAACTTTACACGTTAAAAATTTATGTGTCTCTTTGTCTCTTTCTACATTTCTCTCAGCCAATTTTATATCCTTCTTAATTCAAGTGCTTGCTTTTTTAATATATAAAATAAGGGCTTGGTGTTTGTCATTTTAAATGATATAAGTTATGTCATTTTAGGAGAGAGATAGACACAGAAAAAGAAAATCACGGGAGAGAGAAAGTGGGTGATTTTTTTTAATTTAAAATTTAAATAAAAAAATTTATTATGTGTATATCTCTCTCTTAAAATGACATAACTTTATGTCGTTTAAAATGACAAACATTTTTCCCATAAAATATATTCATATATGTGAATTAAATAAATTTTCATCTTTTCAGGAAATTTAGAAAACCATTGTGGCATCTATATCAAGTACCGTTTTCATCTTTGTCTAAAGCAATTAATATAGAATATGATTCTCCTGACTCCCGTATTAAAATTGTGATTGTTTGTAAAGGAATACATAAACACAACATTTTTACATAACTTTCTCATGTTAAATTTTAATATGAAAAATTTCATTCTCAGTTAATATATATTTAACATTTATTAAATCTTTATTATGCTACTACTTTTTATTGAGGGGAGTTGCTATAAGGGGGAAAGCGCTATCATTTAGAATAATCAACAAATGTAAGATAAATAACTCATAAAGTACAAGTACATAGAAAATAAAGCATGAGCATCATTGCTAAATATGTAAACAAGATCTTTATTGGAATATTTATTCTTTTTTTGTTTGGGAAGGGGGGAGTGTGTGCATAGTTTAAAAGTATGATTCTTTTAAGAAAGTGATATATGAGGGGAAAAAACTCCATTCTATGTCCCCCATATTTTGTCTCTTTCTCTCTCTTAAAAACACCTAACTTTATGTCAAAAGACACACAATTGTCCCTTTTTTTTGTGGGGGGTGGGTATTAGACATAAAAAAAAATTTAAACCTATGTCCTTCAATAAATTATGCAAATTCCTCACTATTACCTACTAATAGTTTGAATATATATTTTTTCATATGAGCACGTTGATAAGCTACAAAGTACATCGAGTAGTAAGGGTGTTCGCAGTCTGGATTGGATCGATTTTGAAAGCAAAAATCATCCGATCCAATTCCTTCGGTTTGATCATATAATCATCCATTCGGTTTGGATTTTTTTTCAAATCCGATCCGATCCAATCCAATTTTTTTCGGTTTGGATTGAATCGGTTTTCGATTTTTTGAAAATTCTAAGATTTATTTCATGATTATTGTGTAAATAACATCTTTTGTATATATTGGCTTTGTAATTTTTATTTTTATTTTGAAATACAAAAGCATTAGTAAACTATAATATAATTTTTTTATCTGGACAATGAGATATGAAGCTCTACAAAAATAAATTTTTTTTGATGAGAAGTGATTAGATTTTTTATTGGATTTAGTTGATGGGTTAATCGGTCTTGGGTTTAGAAATTTTTGGACTATGATTGAGGAAAGACCCAAGTAGATAGATGGAAATTAATATATTGGATCGGTTTGAATTGGATCGATTTTCATCAACCCATCCAAAAACCGATCCAATCCAATTAAAAATTGCGGTTTTTTTTCGGTTTTCGATTTTTCGATTTTCTGTTTATTCAGTTATCGGTTTTTCGGTTCGGTCACCGCGGTTTGAATCGGTTGATGAACACCCCTGTCGAGTAGTAGTCTAGTCCCAAAGTAATAACTCAAAAGCATATTCCATTTGTGCCGTCACATGCAAGTAGAAGACTATGGTTTTCTACGTAAGCTACTGAAAAGAAGTATTTACGTGACTCCTATATATATAAAAAAATAGTAGTAATTCAACCAAAATTGAGTGTTTTGTGGATGAGAGAAAGCGATTACAAAATAAAATATAAAAAATACCATAGTAAAACCAAAGATTTTAATCAACAAATTATAAGTAATATTAAACAATGCGAAATGTCATTAACATCTGCCAAAAGCCCAAAACACAATGACTAGTATCTTAATTCAATTTCTCTTTCTCTCTTGTGGTTCCTTTCAACTACCCACTAGTGCTTCAGGATTAATGTTCCACCAACTTGGTGGAAGTTTTTGAATTCAACATTTTTGTATTGTTAATAGATCAGCATTAGGTAATTATTCTCCAAGTTGGCCATTATTTTTTTTAACCTTTTAAACCTCAAATCCAGTAGGTCTACCGTGTCACATGCCTAGTTACAAAAACCATAATCACTGCTTTTTCCCCTGATATTACCACTAAAAAATCTTTACTAAAACAGTTGACGGGGGCAAACCCACAACTTAAGGGTCTGTTTGATTTCTGTTTTGTAAAACAGTTTTTTAGTTTTCGGAACAAAAAAACAAAAAAACTCGTTTGGTAAGACCTGTTTTGTAAAAAATATTTTGAAAACTATAACTGTTTTTTTGTTTTTAAAATCAAATTTAGAGAACATGTCTGAGTTGTTTTTGTTTTTTGTTTTGGTTTTTAACTTTCAAAAAGAAAAAAGTATAGAAAACAACTGTTTCCATAACTATTTTACAAAACAGTTTTAAGAACAAAAAACCAGAACACAATCAAACAGACCCTGAGTAGTAACTGCAAAACTGTGTTCAAAGAAAGCAAGTTTTATACATAAACTTGTCATGCTTCCTTTTTATTAATTGCTTTTTAGGGGGGCGTGGAAGCAGTTTTCTCAATTAAAGGAACCTTTTGTTAGTGTCTTCTTGAAGCGGCTGCAGAGATATTGCACCTACAACAGAGCTAAAAAGCCTAAAATAGACAGACAATAAAAACAAATTAGGTCAGTTAAGTAATCATATGACTCATAGTGGACCAAAAATAAAGGACACCTAACAAAATCTAAAAGGAGGGTCCACGTCTCAATAAAGTGAAAAGGAAACAAAAGGTAAAACACCTAAACCTTTTTCTAGTTACCATGTTTCTGAATACATGTCATTGTTCTTTCCACTAAGCAAGCACCATCAGTTGCCCATTAATTTCATTAACCGATTTGTTTGTTTTCTTTTTTTGCAGCTTCAATCCATTCTGAGAGGGAGAAAAGACCAATATATGAGTAACTTTTTCTTTATTTTGGTTTTTTGCTAGACAGTCTATGAGTTACTTAAATTGCTTTTCAGTTAATTTTATATGCATCATAAAATAAAGTGTACCTTGCACAATTAGCACACCGATTATTGGTATTGCTGATGGCATTGTAAAACTGTAGTTCTGGACACATCCGGCTAATTCAAGAAACTTAAGTTTCTGAAAGTCTCCCACCTACGTCTTCATCTCACATCAAAGGATAACGTAGCAATTTCAATACACAGTTTCCCTTTCAAGGACAAATACAAGTTAGAAAGATTTGTCAAAGTTCTAGAGAGTAAGGGATGGAGGAAGGATTATCTATAATTAGGGGAACAATACAATGCACTGGTTTCAAAAATAAAAAAATGGTAATAATAAATAAAATCTGCTTTTTAATTCTTGATGCTTCACAATTTCTACGAAAATAATGATTTTCAGGTAATAGCAAGGTCAAATTAAGTTCCCATAGTGCAGGGTTGTTACTATATTCTGCAGTTAGAAAAGAGGCAAAATATATATGATCTTGTGCACAAAGAAAACACTTACTTATTTATGACCACAGGCATAATTTCCTAACTTCTACGATCTTTGAATGTCAGTCACTTTAAGCTTCAATTTCATGTTTCCAGCTTGAACTACAATTTCTCCTTTGGATGAATCCACTTTTAAAACGGTCACTTTTTTCCCAAGGGAAGAGACATGTACCATATCACCAACCTTGGGAAGCTCAGACCTATCTGCAACATTAAAAGGGGAATGACAACTGCGTAAATACTCCTATGATATTATTCCTCATTATGAAACTAGACAGCACAACTCTAGCATGTGTTAGCATCAGGAGAAACTGCACACTTAATTAGATTCAAGAAATGAAACATGGAAGCATACTATCTCATCACACTCCCTCATGTTTCATTATCTGTGCATATACCTGATGATGATTGGTTAAGTTTTACAGCAGATGCACTTCTATCTGCAATTGTAGGTTCTTTGTTTTCTGCTGCAGTATGGCTGTTGTTGGTTGCTGATGAATGAGAACTCTTAATGGCTTTATTGTGCTGTTGAGGCTGCTTAGCTGATGCATCCAGCTCCCTCACTTTCTTGTGAAGGATGGATCTTGCCATTGCTGCAGCCTCAGATACATCTCTCATCTTTTTATATCTAAGATTAGTACTATGTTCCTTGATCTTCCTTCTGGTGACCAATAGATTACTGTAAAGTTCTTTGGAGTGCCTACAATTACAAACATATTCTCCCAATAAAAAATTTGCAGATGCTCCAAACGTATGGTGGAGTTTGTTAGTAATTACCTGCAAGCATTAATTATTACAAGCCAAGTAAAAAGAGAATTGTGGTGCACCAACGCATGAGATAACTTAATTTAGAAAATTACATCAATTATAAAGGATTTTTTGCACTAGTCATCATACTACAAGTGACAGAAAGATGCCACATTAACATTTCTTTCCACCACCTATTAACATTTCTTTCCACCACCTGCCTCATTCTTGCAATCTGGTTAGACCATACTGCAAGAATCTAAATCAGTTTATTAGGATTAATGTTCAGAATAAAATTTTATTTATGGAAAATGGATTATCTATGAGTAATATGCAGCACAGACTCTTTTATTTATTACTAATCATTATTTGTTCACTAAATATATGGTCGCTTCAATGCTCTGATAAGTGAATCCTCCCTAATTAAACAAGGTATCCATTGCACACAAAAGAGCAGGGCTAACAGCATTAAGTGAGGTGGTCAGAGTAACATGAAATACACTCCAATTATTAGAACAAGGATGGAAAGCCTTGTTGCAGGTATTGAGTATTCTGATAATGACCAAGAATAAAAAACAAGATGCAAATATGATTGCATGATCCATTTATACTTGAATGTAATAGAAATTGAATGAGCTTATTCCATTATCTGTTAGATGTAGAAATAAGTGTCTGTCTTTAAATTGTATACAAAATGCAAATATGTGGGGGATGAGGCATATTATGACTTTAACATTTTAGAAGAAAAGAGTCTCACTTCAGATGATGATGCGCTTCATCCAATAGCCCTTGGTAATCTTGTTTTAACTTTTCCATATCAGTTATTACCTACATAAAAATTAAACTACGTTGAAAGGCTACTGAAAGTTTCATAGCACATTAAAAGAATTAGATTTAATTATTTGTTGGCAAATAAATGGAACCAATGCCATGATGCTCCTGAAAAGACTAAAATAAACAGGTATTACTTGTCAATATATTTATTCCAAAAATCTACTCTAGCATCAAGTTGAGACATAATATCAATGGTCTATTCATTACTAAAATTCTAAAACAAAATATCATAAATAGAAATCTTGTTAGTTATTGAGTAACAAAAAGAGAAATTTTATTCTTTTCAACTATAAGAGGACATCATACACCACCATTAACAAATAATAAATAGAACCATGATATATTATAAATACCTCATCTATCTCTGCACTAGCAGAACCATATAACTTACGAGCAGCATCCACAACAACAGATGGTAGTCCCAACCTCTCAGCTATATTGATTGCATTTGAGCGCCCTAAAACGAAAATCTCTTTTAAGTTATATGCATTAAGTAATATGTATTACATCTGACTGTCATTTAAAATGATGCATAACATGCATTCTCATATTAAGGCAACCAAATTTAATAGATTTCTTCTCATAAAATATACCATAGAATCCCTCCTCATCAATATCCCAAAGTTTGATAGTAACTGACATGCACCGTTTCAATAAAAAAGAAAGAAAGAAAGAGCAAATGGAAATTTCGTAAATTTGCCATAAAAGTAACATTTTAAAGTCCCTCCCACAAGAACCTTCTCATTTTTTTATTTTGTTTTTTATTTTTTCAACTCTAGGCCTCACTATGGAATTATGATGAAACTTCAAAGTCCTACCCATTCTAGGGGTGAATTTCTAGAGTTAGGGATGATGCTTTGAGTAGATTGACCCTGACTACTCTTTGAAATTTATTATTCGGGCTTTTTGAGGTAAACTCATTACCCAAAAAAATTGGAAAATTAATTTATAAGCATAGATTCATTTTGGATAGGCGTAGTTTGGAACTTGAAGTAAAAACCTAAGAATTTTATTTAACCTTCTTATTACCTATTGTTCGTTTATCCTTAAATAATGTTCCAAACCCTTGCCGAAATACTTGTTTAGATCGACAAGATACTACCTGGCTTCCCCTAGAGTCAAAAGAAATGATTAAGTTCACTCTTCATGGTAGTGAGTGACTCTTCATAGTCCTTCATCTTCAACCATCTTTTGATATTGCAATATTCCAAGATTTATTTCTAGATTTTAGATACTTCAAATGAGCACAAACACACACAAAAGAAGGGAGACAAATCAAAAGACAAAACAATGAAAGAGAGTATTTAAAAACAAGCAAAAAATGCAAAAACAAACCTGTAATCATTATTATTATTCATGAGAAAGAAGAGTGCTTACCAGGTACACCCCAAAGAACCTTGTAAGTTGGCTTCAAATTCACTTCATCAAACTCCATACATGCATTTTCAAAGGCCTCGTTACTGCTCAAGAAAAAAAGTGTCAAAGCAAAACTTGTGGCAATAGTTTCATAATTTTGATAAGAGATTACAAGAAAAAAGGATAATACATCCCTTTAATGCTTTAAACCATAAAAAAGGAAAGAACACAAAAAATCAGAACGGATTTAATTTTGAATCATTGAATAGTAAAAAATTTCAAATTACCAGGGAACTATGCTATGCTACCTGTTTAAGAACAATTAAAAACTTCTATTACAAGTGAAAAACCTTAGTTACTTTAATGATGTGATATCCACTTATTTGTTGATAGTGTACAAAGTTGTGCAATGACAAGGGATCAAATTAAACTACAAAACAATAATGCACTACATTTCTTCAAGTAACCGTCCAAGAAGTATAACTCAAAATCGGGAGTTGCAATGGCATCTTTATGGGTAACCTACCCAGAATGAGTTATCAAACATCTATTGGCAGCTAGCTTCATAATAAATATTTGAAATTTTATGAAGTATAACAAACAATCAATAAACATTTGACAACTCACCTTGGATACCCATGCCCTTAAAAAATATATATGGGTACATGCAAATTTGAGAATGAATGATTTTTTTTTTTTATAACTTCCCTTCTATTTTATTTTTCTATTGTTTATCCTTTTTTTCTTTTCCAAGAGGAGATAATATCAGGTAGAACATGGCTATTTTTTTTATTTTATTTTTTATTTTTTTTATGTTTTGTTCATCATTTGTACTACCTGTATTTCAGGGTTTTCAGTTCACCGTGATGAGTTGTAGCTATAGTCAGCAAACAACCATCTTGAGCAAAAGATTCCAATAATGACATTCCCAGTGCTGCTCCTTCAAGGGGGTTTGTTCCTGCACCAACCTAACATTTGCAAACGTAGTACTATTCATCATATACTTATATGACATTACAAATTCAGACTATTAATTAAACTCATAAAATACATGCCTCATCTAGTAGCACCAGTGACTGGCTTGTTGACTGTAATTTAATATTCTGCAAGATAAAATTAAGAAGCAAATTAAGAATTTCTTATATATTTTAAGGAATTACTGTTTCTCCTGCAACATGAGATTAAGTTATCTTTTGTAATCTTAAAACGATATCGTTTTGGGGTTTGAGAAAAAAAATATAGGGTATTTTATTAATATACATGACACAAAAGCAAAGTGAAATTACTTAAATGCCCTGTATTCTTTTTATTCGATTTTGGGTTACTGGAGATACTTTATCTCCTTCTGCAGAGAAAAACTTTTTCCATATTTTAAAAATAATAAAGAAAACTATGTGTCACTCTTGATGATAAAATTGAGCTGAAATGTTTACAAGTCACTCAATTTCATTGGAGCTCAATCATTTCTTGAGGTATAAAAGATTTAGAAACTTAAAAAAACAAAAAAAGCGAATAATTGAAACAAGGAAGGTTCCTTCAGCATTTAAGTTCTACACAATCACAATATAATGTCCTTACATTTATCTGTTTCAAGTGGCCAGAGAACGTAGACAAAGACTGTGATAAGGACTGCTCATCACCAATGTCAGCAAAAACCGAATCAAACCAAGGAATTTGCACAGATTCAGAAGCAAGAACATAGAGACCTGTACCATGACACGTTAAGAGCATAAAAATCCTAGAATAAGTATTGAAACAGAGTAAGCAGAAAAATTATTTGCTGCAAGTGCTGGCTTCACTAGTCAATGCTACATAGGTTATTCATGAACGATGATGGTAGATTAAGAATGAAATGAAGATTCTATCATCCTGAATAAGTCAGTATATAATAAGAAATAACCCATGCTTGATGTGAAGCAAGCAGCTCATAATATCTTAAGAATTTTGAAGGTCCAGCAAATATCTAACAGTAAAATTATATATTAAATATTCACATAGGTCCACCGAAACCCACTAAGGATCAAAATATCTCTTAACTAATATGCAATATTTATAGAGCTACAAAATTTTTGTTTGCAAATTCTTACAAACTACACTATGTGCTACGAGTAGTACATTCTACTTAAGCATGTACTACCCGTAGTACATACTACATAGTGTAGTTTGTAAACAAAAAGTTTATAAATATAACCTACCCCATATTTATAACATCATTCGGTTATCTAATCTTTTTACTAACATTCATGATAACAGTTATAGTAAAACTGTTCAACCCTCTGCAGCCTATCCATCTCTTTCACCTCATACCACATGATGATGAGAACATTTTTTGTTAGTCTGACATAAGAAACTCTCTAACTCTCACTTTCTACCTTGATATATAATTTTAAAGCTTAACCCCACAGCAAGATTGTACAAAATATGATTTTAAAACTAGTCTGCAAAAACCAATTGGGTTCAAGAGTCGGTTTTGCACAAGGAGCGGAAACTTAACCTCACGACACCCTTAGACATCTGTCTTTAGTTAGTTACCCCTGTACATCTCTCTGACATCATTTTTTGACCTAATTTTTTTGTTTAGGTTTGGTGGGTGCAACAGGACGGTAAGTGCAGCGAACAGATATGCAACTTAACTACCGAGTCCCAACAGTTAAATATCAAAAGATTCGCCACAATCAAAAATGAAATAAAATGAATTTTTACTTGACAGAATACAATGGTTCTATTCATGAGCATGTAATAACGCTAAACATTAAGAGAGAGAGAGAGAGAGAGAGAAACAGAAACATTGAACACACCTGATTTTGCCATCATAGCAGCCAATCCTACAGTCTTCAAACATATGGTTTTACCGCCAGTATTAGGGCCAGTTATAACTACAACACGAGTTTTCTGAGATACCAAAAAATCAACTGGTACTGGCTGGGCATTGTCCAGTGCAGCAACCTGACTACCAGAAGTGTCTTGTCATGACTCTAAAATGATCTTCAAATGCATGATAAGGAGTAGACAAGAAAACCCTCAAAGTCAACTCTGATAACAACACCGTCAAGCAACATATCAAAATAAATCACTTCTCATGAAACCCCGACTTGTAAGGGTAGGGATGAGAGTACTTCTTGTACATAGCCTTACCCTTGCATTTTATGCAAAAATGTTGTTTCTTGGATTTGAACCCGTAACCTCTCGATCACAGAGAAGCAGTTTTATTACCGCTACAAGCTCACCCTCTTAATTTCAAGTAACATATCAAATATCTCAAAATCAAAAATATATTTTCTGATATACAAAGGTTTAAATGAAAGAACCCTAATGCAGCTACCTAATCCCCCAAGTTATGCTTCTCCTCTTGATGGTATGTTCATGTTGTTCAGTTTTTTCCTTGATGTTTTCCATGTGAAGAAAAATAAAAGGGTAAAGGAAGTAATAGATCATTATAAGCAACAATCAGGATTGCCTTTTTCTTTGAGCATCTCTTGATTGAAAGGAGCACGCACAGTATCAGTGACAATCAACACAACAGCCCTATTACCAAAGATAGGAGGGCCCAACCCATGAATAGCAACCACTCCCCTCTCCATCTCCAAATAAAGGGGAAAATAAGGGCAGAAAATTTATTAGTCAAGAACAAAGTAGCTATGTATCATCCGACACTTAACTGAAGTAGCAAGATTGACATTCTTTTTGGCCTTCGGCAAATGCTCCTTATGCCTCTGGAGCAGTAACGGATGATAAGCTTTCGACAGATACAACGTCCATTCCCTTCTGTTGGGTAACGGTCCATAGGAATTGTCATTCCTTGTTAAGAAGGAATCAGCAGTAGAAGAGCTATTCCTATCTGGCAGAAATATATGAGGACTTGACCCTCCAAATGAAAGACCATACGTAGCACGGGCATTAATCTGCATAATATGAACCATATTACTGACTATCTTTTGCACAATAAGCATGTCTCCACCATTTCAAATATAAACTGCCAATTGAGGTCACCTACCAAAGCAAGTGCAGCAAGTTCTTTCATTTATAGCATCTAAGATGGCACTTTGGGGGCAATAGATTGCAAATTTATACCAATACTATGGTTTATGTTTTTATATAGAAGCAAAAGATTATTTTAACGGTAATTACGTGTATAGTCAGTCTTTTTATCTCTTTTCATGCTAGACCGTATATGCAATAAAAAGTGGACCAGACACATAAATTCGGTTCAAATTCTGTATATGTATTCACCTGCCAAATTCTGTAATATATTTGCTGAGTTAATATACTCATCGCCTTACCTTATTCATCCAAGTGATTTAGTGCAAAGTGTAGATAGGGAATGGAAAATAGCAACCCAGAGCCTTGTGGGAAACTCTTGCCTTTGACATGTATAGCCATGACTTAATGAAGTTGAAAGTTTTAATCTGACAACGATACATATTTCAATTTTGCAGAGCTACAGCTAGTTATGTTAGTTGACTAAAGTACAACTTATTAAAAAGTTTTACCTAAAGCATTCCCAAAAGAGGTGACTTGTTTATAAATGAGATTTTATTCACAAAATGAAAAATAAGCAGAAGAACTGCACAAATTCAGCCAACAGCAGCAGCTGTACAAAAGACTACCCATCCTAATTCTCATGGAGGAAATGACCTTCATTAAAATGGAAACCAGTAAGTAAACTCCTTGAAAGACAACACGAGCAAATTTTACAAGTGAACCAGTATAGAGGAGGGAATACAGAGAGTGGAAACAAGAAATAGTGATCCACTTCTCTTGAAAAAGATTACAGGGTATTTACCACATCCAGTTGAACCAAACTGTTCAGTATCTTTTCAATATCATCAATGTCTACCAGCATCTGCACATGAAGTCATGAATTAGGACAACATAAGAGAAGAAAAGAATGTGGCCAAAAGAATCTTTATCAAATCATGTTTGTAACGGTAAAGAATCTCAGCCCAAACGGTTAAACTGTTAGATGAAGGTCACATTAATGGTTTTATATTATATTTATCTAATACGCCCTCTCACACAAGAGTCCATTGATCTTGAAGGGTGGACAGCATACAGGCTCACCTACCTATGCTAATAAACTACACAATATTTTAATTATTTATTAATAGAATAGGGACAGTGAGAATCGAACTCATGCCCACATGGTCACAAAGGCTCTAATACCATATAAAGAGTCATTTCAACCCAAAAGTTTAAGTTGTTAGATGAATGTCACATTAATGATTTTATATTATATTTCTCTAACAGTAACCTTTTTGGTCAATGTCAAAAGTACATCTGCCTCAGCCTTTGCTACCGAAGTTCTTGCTCGCTGCAACTCATCATTTAAGGGAACAGCAGAAAGTGGCTCTATAGTACTTCCAAGTCCTGAACCACTGCCAGTGCCAGAAAATACTATCTTTAAGGAATGGAATTTACGCCAACCTACTAGCTTTATTGACAAACAGATTATTTCATGAACAATGAATAATTGTATATTAACAAATTTTATGCACCTGGACAACAATAGACCCTTAAAACTTGTCTTCTGTCCAGAATCCACTCTTATACACCACCTGCCATCAACATTGTTCACTTCCTGGTCGAATTATAGAAAAGTCAATGGGGAAAGAAATATGCAGGACGGTAAAATACATAGACAGTCTAGTGAATCTTACGAGAATTGATGTTTCACTCTTTTCATTCCTGATTAAGCTCTCCATTAATTGTTGTACCTGAACAAAGGAAACAAATAATCCTAAATAATGCAAAGTATAAAATGAACTTTTATAAGTTAAAACAATAACATAAGTAGTATGTCTGACACATATAGATAACAATAGGAACAACCCAATAAGTCAAAACACAGGGCAGAGACGGTTTACTAAATTAGCATTTTATTTATTTAGCATTCACAAATAAAGTAAATAATACCTACAAATTAAAACAGATAATCACTCTAACTTTCGAGTATAGCTGACATTTCATGCATCTCCCCCCAATTTTAAAAACCAACAGAAATCTCCCATGATATTTGGTATGCACCACAAAAATATCCCAATTATTACTTGTCTCTAACAAAAACAGCAACTAAGCAATCAGATCTTTGTCAAACAAAATAGGTTATTCATTTGTAATGAGTACCCAGAGTTGAGTTGTATATTTGCTGAGAAATCATCCAAGTGGGGGGAAGAAATGAGTTTTGTCTGCATAGGATTTAATGATACAGTTACAGTTTTGGCCCCTTCGCATTTTTTTGAGCCAATTTATCAATTAAGTTATGGCTTCGGCCAACTTATTGTGAATTTTATCAAAATATGATAGCTCTATTTCTATTTCAATTGGATAAAAGTACAAAGTGGGTTATTTTGTACTTTGTAGTGCTCTTTCAAACTTTGAGGGAGGGGGGTTTGAAAATAAAGAACACGTTTATGTAATTTCAGACAAATCCAAGTGACGTGGCTGTGGGCATAATTTTCAAAAAAAAAAAAACAAAGTCAAAAATTTAAAATCAGGGTTTTGCCCAACCTGCAGGTAGATTGTTGTCATGTTGTGCCAACAAATTTTGTGACTGAATCCTAATCTCATTCGAGCCCTATAGGATACTCATGACAGACGTGAATGTTAATGGAAGAGATAAGAATATGTCTGCCTTTTGTTCAATTTATGTGTCGAAGTTTCATATGTCATTCACTAGATTGGTAGTTGTAAACTAAATTAAACTCTCTTAAAAACTCGTAGAATTCTGATAGAGTCAGTATGTCCAGGACCAACAAGTTGAAACATAGTAAAATAAACAGGATTTACCTTTCTCTCAACCACTTGCACTTGTTGACGTGCCTGTTTAAGGGCTGGACTCTATAACAAAGATGTTAGCTTCAGTTATACATGTGTATGATAAAAGAGAAGCAACTGATAGTCAGATGTATGGCAGCAAGAAAGGAGAGATGCATCTCTAACATATTTTCTTTCACTGAATACTATATAATGACAAATATTAAGAAAACTTAAGATGCAACACATGCCAACTCAAACCATAGAAAAAAAAAGAGTAGCTAATCACTGTCACAATATGTAGAGTTAGAAAAAGGAAACTTGTTAAAGATATGGAACAAACCGCAGAGTCCTTAATAGAGCCATCTTCATCAATAACCTGTTCTATCATTTTAACTAAAGATCGATTGATGACAAATTCCATTATCTGCAAACATGTATATGTGAGGAAAAAAGTCAGACACATAGTAATATTAATGATATGATATGTATATATTCACAATCTTATTTCACCATTTACCACTTCTGTAAGAGGCATGAACCGTTTATGCCAATGACTATCTTCCTTAATTGAAGCTTTAAGATCAACTTGCAAGGTCTCAGCACACTGCAGAAGAGTCGCAATGGCCCTTGCTTCATAGCTAGTCACCTGTACAGTTCTCCGGACATGTTGAATGGCAGTTTGCACCTACAGGAACCTTAAATCAACAACTTGGCAAGAAAGAAAACAGAAATGTGCAAAACTGTCTTGTGTTCAATTGTCTGATATCATAAAAAGAAAACATTTTTTTTTTACACTAATTACTTACTAGCATAGCATCAACGTGGCCAAAGTACAATCTGCAAGTGCCATGCTTGTGCATTTCGACAGCAGCATTGGTTTCATTGAGAAGTTTGAGACTTTCCTCGTAAGTTTGATTCAGAGACCATAACTGGTCCTGTTTCATCAAAACCCCACAAAATAACATGGAATAAAAGAAGGATAACCCAAAAACAGAGAGAGAGAGAGAGAGAGAGAGAGAGAGAGAGAGACCTTGAGGGCTTGACGGCCCAAGGAAGTGGTGGCAAAGGAAGCGACCAAGTCGCAAAGCTTGTCCCATTCGAGCACTCTGAGGCTGTCGTGGTGAATAGAAGCTGCCACGGTTCGTCCATGTCTATGTCTATGTCTATGTCTATGGTTGAATTTGTATAGTGTGTTAATGGTAATGGAGAAAGTAGACATGGTTGTGGCAAAAGATAACATTTTGATGTAATAGGTCTTACAAAAATGAGTTCTAAATATCAGGAAGTTCTTCACACTCTACCAATTACCACAACAGTTGTTGTAGCTTCAAGGATATTCATCAAGGATATTCACCATAAGTGGTTGGTTAACATGACCCTGTTTTGTGATTTTGTTATTCTCTGTGTGTGTGTGAGAGAGAGACAAGGAGAAAGTAAATAATTGTGGAAAAAGAAAATAATAATAATAATTTTCTTCATGTCTCTTTTGAACATTTTTTTATCAACTCCGTGTGTTTGATATGTGTATAATTTTGCTAGTCGTTTAAATGAACTTTGCATAGTTTTTTATTTAAGATTTTAATTAAAAAAATTTAGACACAATAATTGTAGGAAAAATATTTTTTTTTAAAAGATAATCATTTTAATTAACTCTGCATGATTTTCATTGTACAATTGCTTTTCTCCCTGTAAAAGACTGAAAAAATAGTAATTTCTACTAAAATAACACAACTCTATATCCTTTAAAAGAACAAAGACTAATATCATAATTGTATTAAGGTTTTCATTTAGATTACTCAAATTTTTCAATTTTTCATCACTAACTTGATCACAGGGGCTTGATTTTAAGTTATTTTTTTAAACCAATTCATCTCTTTGAGGCAAGTTGTATTCTCGTAAACTTTAATTTTTTTTTTGTATATATAAACTTTAATTCTTTGATCCTACTATTATGAGATTAACTCTTCTGGTGTGTGAGGAAAAAATGTGTCTTTTATTTAAGCACATTTAAAAAAAAAAAAATGCATATGTAATTAGAACAAGGTTATACTTACAATTTTTTTTTTTATAACCTGTTACAATCATATCTTATTACCTTTGATTTCTGTCAATCAACGGTTATCATTTTAGCAAATTAAACTCATTAATTAATTATTAATTCACAATAAATGATAACTGTTGATTGACAAAAATCAACGGTGATAAGATATAATTATAAGAGATTGTAAAAAAAAAAGTCGTAAGTATAACCTTAATGTCTATTTTAACGCCCCAAAAGAAGGGGGGATCTCTCTTTAAAAAAGTCAATTTGGACTGAGCGTGCTCATTGGGCCCAAACAGAAAATTGGTCCACTGGCCGGATAACATCTATATTTTGTGTCATATATATATATATATATATATATAGGTAGAATTCTTTGACACCTTATTTTATAGCCGTTAGATAAAAAAAGATTAATGGAGTCACATGCTTACAAATCAGAGTCGTTGATCTTTTTTATCTAACGGCTCTCATATGAGGTGTCAAATTTTAAATTTGACACTGGTGTCAAAGGATCCTACCTCATATATATATATATATATATATATATATATATATATATATATATATATATATATATATATATATATATCATAAAACTCATTATTTTAATTTAGTTATTTTTTTAATTCAGTTACCTTCGTGTCAATAATATTCATTTTTTAACCATCTGGTCGAGTAATTCTAAATACTGGCAAGTAATGGAATATTCAATAGCTTGTTTTTAGAATCATTAAAGTTGGATTTATAAATTAAATTTTATGTTTGGAAATTATCATAAAAAATAATATTTGAATTTATAAGTCATTTTTTTTATTTTGATCATTTTACTTTTTTATCCTTAATTAGGATAATAGGTAAATAAATAAGAATAAATTTTTTAGTTCGAACATTGAAAACTAAAATAAATCCAATTCCATCACCATACTCACTAAACTGTCTCAACCAATTTCATCTAGCTGGTTCAGCGGTAGCAATAGAATACCAATATATATATATATATATATAGGTTCACTTTTTCTGCAGTTACGGCAGATAAGTTATCTGCAGTAAGCATACGACGTTGTTTTGGGACGGAAATTATGGTGTTTTTATAATTTTAATTTATTTTAGGGTTATAATAGTCTTTATATTTATAATTTTTTAAGATTTCAATACCAAAACGATATCGTTTTGGAAATAAATGCATGCGGAAACATTTTTCCATATATAAGAAAAACAGTGTTAAATGTTAACTTGGATGGAAAAAAAAACCAAAGGGGGTAATTAATAAGAAAAACAGAATAGGGTCTAAGCAATAAAAGAGTAAACCATATGGGGTTTATAAACTTTTTCCTATTTAAAACATAGCAAGACTTAATTAAGGACAATGAAAAAAAAAATTGATATCAAAACTGGATCTTGCAAAATTTCAAAATAAATAATTTACATCTTCAACATTTTGTTAACAAATTTTCCCAATCGATGCTGTAAACTCATACCTCGATCGGCACAAAAATAAAGTGAGGTTACATTAATGGTTTTATATATTTCTAACACGTCCTCTCACACGAGATCCCATTGGACTTGAAGGGTGGTGATGCATCAGGGCTAGCTTACTTGCGCTAAGAAATTCCACAAGAATTAATTAATTAATTAATAATTAAATGGGGGCAGTGAGGATCAAACTCGTGATATGAGGCTCTGATACCATGTAAAGAACCATTTAAACCCAAAAGCTTAAGTGAGGTTACATTAATGATTTTATATAACTTTAACACGCCCCCTTACATGAGAGCTCATTTGACTTGACGGATGGATAATGCACAGGCTCACCTAACTGTGTTAAGAAACTTCACAAGAGAAAGTGGAAAGCGGTGAGTATCAAACTCAAGACCTTGTGATGAAGGAAGTTTTATACCATGTAGAGAACCAATTCAACTCAAAAGCTTAAGTTGTTGGGTGATGACCTTTTTATGATTTATATTATTCTCTATCATGGTATCAGAGCTTAATCTTTTGGGTTGAATTGATTTTTTACATAGTATCAGAGCTTTAGTGACCATAAGGTCACGAGTTCGATCTTCACCGCCCCCATTTTCTAATGGAATTAAGTAAAAACACAAGGTAAACCAAAAAATTGGGCTTGTGCAATATCCACGCTTCAAGTCCAAAGGACTCTTGCATAAGGAGGTGTGTTAGAGAATAATATAAACCATTAAAAAGGCCGTCATCCAAAAGCTTAAACTTTTGAGTTGAATTAGTTCTTTACTTGATAATTTTTTATTCATGTGACATGATAGTTATATAACCCATGCATTATATATTCATACTAGAAACCATAGTGAAAAAAGGGGTAATTTTTCAGCCTTCATATTCTTATTTTCTACGTATCAATAGAGTAAAAGAACACAAAAAATGATCCACTTTCGTGTTCACCGTTGATTTGATAGCTTGAAAGAGAGAACTACCACATATGTGCAAATTTTAGATGATACCACATCCTCTTTTAGAGTAGTGTATTTTCTGTATAATAGGAGTAGGTACTTCTGTAAGAACCCGCACCATTAAATAAGGTATTTAATTAATTAATTACGCAAAATTAGGAAATGATTTCATAATTGACCCTAATAATTATTATGGGACTCTAATAATTATAGTAAGTGATTAAGAATGCTGAAAGTCGCTTTTCGGAGGAAAAGTGCAGATACCGGTTCTGCTAGTCGGTATAAATGCGTACCAAAAAAGTATCCCGGAAAATTATAACAAGTGCATGATAATTACTAGAATATTATATAGGACTTGTAAAATGAGTTTCAAGTTAAAAAAATGAGAACTGGTGCCAGAACTGATACTGGCTATGGAAAAGTGCGTACCGGAAAGGTGCTCCGAAAAATATAATAAAAATATGATAATTCTTGTAAAATTTTGTAGTTTTAAGAATCCTGAGTTTGAGATTAAAATTCTAAGCTTAGCAATTAACGTTAATACTACGTGTTTAATGCTTAAGTGACCTATATAAGGCCATGGCACACATTTCTAGGTCAGAAATGGTGCCTCCTACGTTGGTTATTTTCTGAAGAGCTACTGCCACCCTCATTTCCTTGGTCACCTTTGCATGAGACACCTCCAAGCCACCTCTTTTATTTGATTTCTTCATACTTTCTCTTGGGAAACACTTGGGTGTGTGTTTGGTGAGGAAAAAGGAACCATCTTCTGAGTGTTTTACTGCTGTGTGGGGAGTCTTGGGGCTGTTCTCTTTGTTCTTGTGGGATGTGGCCATTTATTTGGCATTTTGATGCTCCAAGGTGTCTTCTTGTTGAGTGGAAGACCTACCTTCAAGCTCATTTTCGTTTCTCCTTGAAGTCTGAGTTTTGGAGCAGTTGAGAGAGCTCCAAGAGCATCATCTACCTCTGTTTTAGCTTGTGGTATGATCACCACCTTTGAACTTGAGTTTTATGCTTAAAAATGGAACCTTGATACATGTAATGGTTAAAAGATGATAACCTAATGTTGGGTAATGCTTAACACACATAGAAATGCATGTTTAAGTGTCTAAAATCGGTAAAAACCCAACCTTGGATGGATATCTTCGCGAAATGCAGAAACTGCATTCTGTCGCGAAATATCCGGATATTTGCCCGTGAAATATCCAGATATTGATATCCGGATATGGATATCTGGATATGGATATCCGGATATGGGGATCTGGATATCCGGATATTGATATCCGGATATTTTCAGAGAGATATCCGGATATTCTGGGATTTCGAAGAACAGTAGCTGTGCTGTGAGTACAGTAGACTATTGGGGGTTTGTGGACCCTATATTGATGAAGTTGAACTTCTGTTTTAATTGAACTAAGTCAGAATCAAGTGATTAAGGGCTTATGGCTTGGTATGGAGCCTTAAGACGTAAAACGTAGAGGAAAGGCGTTGTCTTTAAGTTGTATGCTTGTGGTGCATGTTTAATGATATATTATTGGTCCATATCATATTGTGATACTGCTGTGTTTGGACTTTGAGCTTGTGGCATTGGATAGCTAGCTTAGAGGTAAGCTTTCATGTTCTCGGTTTAGCCATGTTGTGGTTCCACCATGTCCCATGGGGGTATGATTATATGCATGCTGTGTTACGTGCTTTTGATGTTTTGGAAATGCTATTGAGCTGTTATATGCTAGTGCCTTTTTGATATGTATGTGATGTTCCACCTATACGGTAAGCCTGAGTATGTGGTACATACAATATGGTGAGGCTGTGGGTGAGGTGCAAGTGGTGTTTCTTGTACTACATGTAGGAGATAGACGTATTCCTGCATTTCTCTGGCCAGTAGAATAATATCAACACACATGTCATGAATATCTGTTGCACTGCATAATTTTGGAACTTATATTGTTATAAATTCTTTTAGCACTTATATTGCACATGTATTCCTGCATTTCTCTGGCCAGTAGAATAATATCAACACACATGTCATGAATATCTGTTGCACTGCATAGTTTTGGAACTTATATTGTTATAAATGCTTTTAGCACTTATATTGCACATGTAAGTGAGCTTGGGGTGGAAGATCCTTGAGGACCCCTTGTCTTACTGAGATTTCTGTTAGAGATCTCACCCCACGTTTGGGGCGCTTATTTCAGGTTCAGGTAATGTTGGGGTTGAGACCTCAGGCAGCAGGAGGCCGGAGCTGAGTTAAATATTGCTGATATTATATGCTTATTTGTTGGATGCTGGTTATGCATGCTGCTTTTATGCTTTTAGCTTCATTATGATTTTGGATTATCTTGTTGAGACACTGTTGATTTGGTGAACATGGGGATTGTCCATGCCACATAGACTTGTTTATATCTTGTTTTAGTTGGAGTTGTAATAATGTATATGGATTATTGTCCGGACTACGAGTTGTAGATCTGTGATGTTAGATACTCACTTTATTTATATTATGATGTATTTCAGTAGATGTCTATTGCAATTTACATACAGGCAATATTTTATGAAATTGATTAAATAATCAACTTGGCTAAGTATAATGACGTCATAATTGAAAAGAAAAAGAATATTCCGCATTTTTAATTAATCGTAGCTTAATACGATGTAATGTTAATATTCCGGATATACACGAGGTGTTACAACTTCCTTATCAAAAAGAAAAAATAAAGATATAAAAGAAAACATGCATAAAGATAAGGGTAGTATAAATATGTTACTTTTTTTCCACATTTGATAAAAGATATGCCATACATAAGTGGAAAATATTTAATATGGTCTAGGTCCATTTATGATTCAGTAGTCCATGCCAATAAAAAATGGGTATTTTTTGACTTGCTTACATAGAGGAGAGAGAAATTTTGTTTTTTTCTCCAAATGACAGCTCCTCATTCGAAGGAGTAGGTGTACCAGGACTACTATAAATACTCCGAAATAAGTGTGAATGAAAATATTTTCCTTACTATAGTCTATAAGGCAATATCTATCCAAAGACAGCTAGCATATAGGTGCAAATTTTGTTAAATAAGTATTATTATAACCTTCAGTTCTGGTTTTATTACACTTCCCTTCTTACTCTTACATTCTCCCATTGCCATCACTTTCAGTTGTCATACTATAGGCTGAGAGAAACATCCATCTTTCTCATCCAGACAAACATTTACACACAGAGAGAGAGAAAGAATCTTAGATCCCAGATAGCAACAATACCAAATTCAATTCCTTTTTGTCAAGTGGCAAATGGATTTCAATGGAGATGAAGAATCCAGTACCCAGATACAAGAAGGAAACACAAAAAATTCATCCCTTTTCAGATACAATTCACCATTTGTTCAAGTCATCCTCATTGGCCTTGTCTGCTTTTCTTGCCCTGGCATGTTCAATGCCCTTTCTGGAATGGGTGGTGGTGGCCAAGTTGATCCCACTGCATCAAACAACTCCCTCACTGCCCTCTACACCACCTTCGCCATATTTGGCATCCTTGGTGGTGGCATCTACAACATCCTCGGACCCCACCTCACCCTTTCCGTAGGTTGTTCTACCTATGTACTATACACAGGTTCCTTCCTCTACTACAACCATTACCACCACCAAGTCTTTGCCGTTGTTGCTGGTGCTTTTCTTGGTGTAGGAGCAGGGCTTATATGGGCTGCACAGGGTGCAATTATGACATCTTATCCCCCAACCAATCGGAAAGGGACTTACATTTCCATTTTCTGGAGTATCTTTAACATGGGTGGTGTCATTGGTGGTCTAATTCCTTTCATGTTGAATTATCATCGTAGTGAGGCTGCTTCTGTCAATGATGGAACCTACATTGGCTTCATGGGCTTCATGTCAGCAGGTGCCTTTTTGTCTTTGGCGATCTTGCCTGCTAGCAAGGTTGTTCGTGATGATGGTACCAAGTGCACCAATATGTTGTACACAAATGTGTCCACTGAGTGTTTGGAGATTCTTAAGTTGTTCTTCAATTGGAAAATGCTTCTCATTGTTCCTGCTGCTTGGTCCAGCAATTTCTTCTACTCCTACCAATTTAATGATGTCAACGGGGCACTGTTCAACTTGAGAACAAGAGGGTTGAACAATGTGGTCCACTGGGGTGCACAGATGCTGGGATCGGTTGGGATTGGATACATAATGGATTTCAGTTTTAAGAGCAGAAGGATGAGGGGGTTTGTGGGAATTGGAGTGGCTGCTATTCTTGGGTCTGCTATTTGGGGTGGTGGACTTGCTAATCAGCTTAGGTACTCCTCAAATGATTTGCCAGAAAAGTTGGATTTTAAGGACTCAGGGTCTCAATTTGCTGGGCCGTTTGTCTTGTATTTTTGTTTTGGGCTACTAGATGCCATCTTCCAGAGCATGGTCTACTGGGTTATTGGAGCCTTGGCTGATGACTCTCAGATTCTTAGCAGGTAATTGATACTTGATGCAGAGGCATAATCTTCTTATTCAGTTAGTTGCTTAACTATTCCTACTATTTGGACTTGATTTATTGTTAGTAGCCTTTGGTCAATGAAAAGAGGTAGTTAACTAGTTATGTTGATCACATGCTTGGAAAATGGAAATCAATTATTGTTTGCACTTACACAGGTACACTGGATTCTATAAAGGAATACAAAGTGCAGGGGCTGCAGTTGCTTGGCAAGTTGATACAAACAAGGTGTCTTTCATGTCCCAGTTGATTGTGAATTGGGTGCTCACAACAATAAGCTATCCATTACTTTTTGTTCTGGTCATGTTAGCTGTGAAAGAAGACAACAATGCTGAAGAGGATCCCGGCAAACTGTTTGCTCCATCTGATGCTAATAATGGCGTTACCCAAAAACAATATCCGGTTGTCTAGGAAAGCCAACTCTGATTTGTAATGGTTAGACATGACTTTCAGCATGTACAATAACTTCAACGAAATATTTGGTGTTATTAGGTATGATTGGGGAAATGAACTTTTCACTATTGAAAAGATTGAAACCAAGGAATTACTAATCCTCTGGGCCATGGCTAATTAATATGCTAATTCTCATGATATTTTGTGGTGTTTGGTGTTGAAGAGAAGATTTATTTTTCAAATTTAAATATTTGTTGCAATCTGAAACCATATCACAGAATTAGGAATCTTGTTAGTTTGTTAATTTGTTATTTATCTCTGTATACAAATACTCAAGTGGAGGATAAACAATGAATGAGAATTATCAAATTCTGGCATGGTATCAAACAGCGTTGTTTCTTTCCTGGGCAATCCTCTTTTGTTTTTTTAATTTTTTTTCCTTACCCACCCAAACCCAAACCCGTAACAGCACCTGAACCCAAACCTTATCACATTCGATTTTTTTTTTCTCCAGAACACTTCGATCTCAACTTTCCCAAATTCTTCTTCTCAGAAACCTTTTTTTTTTTTCGACCATGGCTGATACCCCTCCTGAAAATCAAGATATCAATGCCTCTGCACTCTCCAACCCCACTCCTCCACCAACACAAAATATCATTATCCATCAAGACCATTCTTCTCTCCCGCTAACAGTTATCCTCAACGAATCAAACTTCCCCCTTTGGTCACAACTCATGGATATGAGAATCGGAGCCCGTAACAAAACTGGTTTCCTCACCGGTGACACCCCGAAACCAAACCCCGGTGACCCCTCCCTTGAATCTTGGATCACCGACAACAAGAGAGTCAAAAGCTGGTTGATTGACTCCATGAGCCCCAATTTGATGCAACGCTTCATTCGTTTGGAGACAGCATGCGAAATTTGGGAGGCTGCTTCCAAAACATTCTACGATGGTTCAGATGAGTCGTGCCTCTTCGACCTGAACAAAAAATCATTCACCACGAAGCAACTCGGTCGTCCGCTTGCCATTTACTACAACGAACTCTTGGGCATTTTCCAAGAAATCGACCATCGCACTTCTTCCTCTGCTTCGGTTGCTGATCTGGTTCATCAACACTCAGCCCTCTCTCGCTTACGGGTCCACATCTTCCTTGCTGGTCTCGATTCTGAGTTTGATCAAATTCGTGGTGAGATACTCCGAAAAGATCCCAAACTTGACCTGGAGAATTCATATGCCTATGTCTGACGTGACTACCAGCAACGTCATACCATGAATACTGATGCAGCTGCATTCCTTGCCCATCCTCCTCGTCCCAATTTCTCCCAAAACACCAAGTCTCGCCGTGATAATGCCCCTCCTAACAAGCCTGCTCCCTTTCTCTGTTCTCATTGTGGTGAGTCTGGTCATTCCAAGCAACGCTGCTATGAGATAATTGGATATCCTGAATGGTGGGACTTCACTAAGCGACCTCGAAAGAAGATTCCTCACACAGCAAACCTCACACTTGCTGATAATGCATCTCCCACTCCACAGGCAAATGTAGTTCAGAGCAGCATCTTAGGTAAATCTCTTGTCCTTTCTGCACTTTCTATGAATACAACTTGGATAATTGATACTGGTGCTTCTGATCATATGGTTCGTGATTCATCTTTACTGACAAATTTCAAATCTTGTTCTAAACCCCTTATATCTACTACCAATGGAGGAACCTCTCCCATCTCTGGACAAGGTTCCATTTCTTTATCTCCTGCATTACACCTGTCCTCTGTTTTATGTGTACCTTCCCTGGAATTTAATCTTATATCTGTGAGTCGTTTAACATCTGATCTACATTGCTGTGTCACTGTTTTTCCTTCTTATTGTATTTTTCAGGACATCCTCCGACAGAAGATGCTTGGTTATGGCATTAAGATTGGTGATCTCTACTACTTGGATCTCAACCAAAATATCTCTTCTGCTACCTCTCGAACCTGCACTTCCCTTCCTGCATCTGAAGCTTCATCTCAAGTTTGGCTATGGCATTGTAGACTAGGACATGCATCATTTGGCTATCTTTTTAAATTGTTTCCCCATTTGTTTTCCTCAATAAAAGTGTCTCAATTTCAATGTAACACTTGCGAATTGGCTAAAAGCCACAAAACTTCTTATTTTCCAAGTATGAATAAAAGCTCAATCCCTTTTGAAGTTATTCACTCAGATATTTGGGGACCTGCAAAAATTCCCTCACTCTCAAACTCTCTCTATTATATTACATTTATCGACGAATGTACCCGTATGACATGGACTACCCTCTTGTCCCATAAAAGTGGTGCTTTTTCTGCCTTTAAGGTATTTTGCAACATGGTCCATACTCAATTTCAGTCCTCTGTTCGAACTCTTCAATTTGATAATGAGTCTGAATATATCAACTCACACTTCACAGAATATTTAACTACTCGTGGTATTAAACACCAAACCTCCTGCCCATACACTCCCCAACAAAATGGCCTTGCTGAGCGAAAAAATAGACACCTTCTCGAAGTTGTTCGTGCATCTTTATTTGGCATGGATGTCCCTAGACAATATTGGGGTGAAGCTATAATTTCTGCTACCTACCTAATTAACCGCTCTCCTTCCCGTACTCTTAATTTCCTGACCCCACAACAAAAATTAGAATCCTTCTTTTCCATTCCCCACTGCCCGAATCTAGAACCACGTGTGTTTGGATGTGTAGCCTATGTTCATGTACCCAAAGTTCTTCGAAATAAATTGGACCCGTGTGCCAAGAAATGCATCTTTGTGGGCTATTCACAAGTACAAAAAGGCTATAGATGCTATGATCCCACCCTTCGAAAAATGTATGTTACTTTGGATGTCTCTTTTCGGGAATGTGAGCCCTTCTACTCAGGGGGAGCCTTAGCTTCTTCTCCTCAGGGGGAGATTCACCATGGAGGAGAAGTTTCAATTGAAATTCCAACAACCTTACTACATACCCATGCCTCGGCCTCCAGTCCAGATCTTCATGAAGCAGAAAACGACACACAAAACTCCTCAATCTTAACTCCCATAACTGAGCAACCTTCTCCGGATGTCCAGAACAATGCAAATCACATGGAAACTGAGGTAATCCCTGATCCAAACTCTTCTACTATTGATCCCCCCATTTCTACACAACCTACCTTGGTATTAAGAAGATCAGAGAGAATCACAAAAGGTATTCCCCGGAAATTATATGAACCTAACCCACATGCCTCTGTTAAATACCCAATTGGAAATTATGTGTCAACAAAAAAATTATCCGAATCATATGCATTGGCTACTAATCAATTATCTAGCATATATATTCCTACAAATGTGCAGGAAGCAATAGCAGACCAGAATTGGAAAGAGGCTATGGAAGTAGAAATGGAAGCACTTAAAAAGAACTCTACTTGGGACATAGTTTCTCTACCTACTGGAAAACAAAGCATAGGCTGCAAATGGGTATTTACCCTGAAACTCAAGTCCGATGGCAGCCTGGATAGATACAAAGCAAGGCTTGTGGCAAAGGGATACACACAAAAGTTTGAAATTGACTATCAAGAAACATTTGCACCAGTAGCCAAACTCAACACCATCCGTATTCTTATATCCATAGCAGCCCAAAATGATTGGCCCTTGAAGCAATTCGACGTGAAGAATGCCTTTCTAAATAAAGATTTGGAGGAGGAAGTGTATATGGACCTCCCACCAGGTATGAGTTTCGGTTCCTCGAAGGAAAATACAGTGTGTAAGTTGAAGAAAGCTTTGTATGGACTAAAACAGTCACCAAGGGCCTGGTTTGGCCGATTTTCTCTTGCTATGAAGAAATTTGGATACAAGCAAAGCAACTCTGACCATACCTTGTTTGTCAAACAGAAAAACAGCAAAGTAACAATCCTAATAGTGTATGTTGATGACATAGTGCTGACTGGTAATGATACAGAAGAGATGCAAACACTAGAAGCTCAACTAGCAACCGAATTTGAGATGAAAAATCTGGGTGAGCTGAAGTATTTTCTAGGCATCGAAGTGGCCAGATCCAACCAAGGTATATGCTTATCTCAGAAAAAATATGTACTTGATTTGTTGACTGAAACTGGAATGCTAGCTTGTAAACCAGTAGACACCCCAATAGAAATGAATCATACCCTTGCGGTTTATCCTAACCAAACACAGACTGACACTGGCAAGTATCAAAGATTGGTTGGAAAATTAATATACCTAGCACACACTAGACCTAACATCTCCTATGCAGTAAGTGTTGTAAGTAGATTCATGCATTCCCCAAGTGATGATCATATGAATGCAGTATATAGGATTCTCAGATACTTGAAAGGAACTCCTGGAAAAGGACTTCTATTTACAAAAAGCCAAAATGTATCTGTTATGGGATATACTGACTCTGATTGGACTGGAGACAAAACTACAAGGCAATCTACCTCTGGATACTTTACCTTTGTAGGGGGGAATCTAGTTACTTGGAGAAGTAAGAAGCAGAAAGTAGTGGCAAGGTCAAGTGCAGAAGCAGAATTCAGAGGAATGACTCATGCTATTTGCGAACTATTATGGATAAGAAATATTCTCCAAGATATTGGGATTAACTATGATGAGCCAATGAAACTCTACTGTGATAACAAGGCAGCCATTGAAATTGCTCACAATCCCGTACAACATGATAGAACCAAACATGTGGAGGTTGACAGACATTTTATCAAGGAAAAATTGGAGAAATAGATAATACAACTTCCATTTGTTAAATCTAAAGATCAAGTTGCAGATGTGTTGACAAAAGCCATATCCAGTAGAGCCTTTGGAGAAGTAATAAACAAGTTGGGCATGATAGACATTCATGCACCAACTTGAGGAGGAGTGTTGAAGAGAAGATTTATTTTTCAAATTTAAATATTTGTTGCAATCTGAAACCATATCACAGAATTAGGAATCTTGTTAGTTTGTTAATTTGTTAATTATCTGTGTATACAAATACTCCTCAAGTGGAGGATAAACAATGAATGA